GAGACTTATAGAGGATCTGGGCATGACTTAATCAGTTGGTGACGATTCCTTCAGGGTCAGGAAGACTCCCTGAAGTCAATCTAGGTGCCAAGACCCTCACTGATCTCAGATCTGGATAACATCCAGGCTGGCAGTGAGCCCCCTCTTACCTGCAGCCTCACCAATGTTCAAGTCAGAGCTTTCCTGGACAACCCCATGCATGTCCCTGCCTGGCCCTCAGACACCCAGAGTATAGAGCGTTGTGTACAGCAAGTGAGCGAGGCCAGCAGTCACGTGTACAGCCAGGAGAGAGGAGGGAAGGCTACATCCGAGCTCAGGTGGTCAGCAGGGAGGTGATGAGTAGAAACAGAAGCAAGAAAGACATGTTCTCTATGGTGTGCAGCAACACCGGGTCGTAGTAGTAAAACCGGTTTTTGTATTTGATGATTTTGTTTTCTAAAGGAAGATTAAATTTAATAAATGTGTCAAGATCATTCGTTTCACTATTCTGGATAATTTTCATCATAATAAATTAACCTGATACATTTACTTTACTTTAAATAAGCTATTTAGTGGTGTTGGTTAAAGGGTGGGAATACTGAATTTTCATAAGATTTCAAGTTAAAATTTACCTAGCAAAAAATGAAAACTTTTCAAATCTGAAGATATCACATGATTCTGCACATAGAACTACATCATTAATACCATGGGCCGATTTTTCAAACTCAAAAAAAAAAAATTCGCCTCCGTATGACACCCTATTGCGTAACCTGAGTGACACCACCACCGATAGCAAGAGCGAAGAAGATGAGGATCAACAGTTAGAACAGCAAAAAATACTCTTCAAACAATTCTGGAGAGTATTTAACATCAAGAAAGCTGTGGACTTCTTGGTGGAGTCATGGGATCAGCTGTCTATTGCTACAATTCGTCACGCATGGAGACATGTGTTGCATGGAATACCAGGTGAGAGGAGGAGTCAATCTGTGACTGGTGAGGTTCAGAATGTTGCAGTAGCAGTGGACCTTGCCAGAGAAGCTGCGCAGACTGTTACAGTTCCAGGCTTCTCCGAGACCACCAACGACGACATCCTGGAGGTGATCAGAGATCCTGAAGTGACTGCCGACGAGATGTTGGAAGAAGAACACGTCAGTGAAGAGGAGGAAGAAGGTGCGTCAGTCTCCGAAGAACACAATTTAAGTCATAGTGATATTAAGGGTGCCATGGAGTGTGCAGAGAAGATGAAGTCCTTCCTTTCCCGCGACAATGACGATGACCGCTATGAAGTCTTCCATACCCGGCTGGTGCAGGCTATGGAGCCATACATCAAGGTGTATCACGACAACATCAACGCCAGCCGTCAGCAAAGCATAACAGATTTCTTCGCCCGCAACCCACCACAGCCAGCCCAAGCCAGTGATAGTGACAGTGAAGTTGACTTTGAGGGATTTGTCAGGGAAGCCCTGACAACTGTAAGTGACAGTGATGGTGATTCACCTAGTAATGGTGATTCACCTGAGGGCCAGTAATCTGCCCTCTGCCTCGGAACCAGCCTCCATCCCCGTATGCCGACCCATCTCTTCTACTACCGTAAGTGTTACACCTAATTTTTAGTTTTCTAACCTTACCTTTATTTTTCCTATGTTAACCTTTATCTTTCCTAACCTAACCTCTTCTATATTACTTGTTTTTTCATACCATCATAAAGTTAAGATAAAATTTTTACTACAACATAGTTGTGTGTCGTCAAAAAGTGGAGTTTGGGGATCGGCCCGGACTCCATTTCAATTAATCCCATATGTTGTTATTCACTTTACGCGTTCCTCACTTTCCGCGGTACCCTCCGGGTTACATTGTATGTACTTTTATGTGAGCTGGAACCAATTACCTAATATCCCATTGAAATAATGGATTCAGTTAACGAACGACCTTCTGGAACGAATTGTGTTCGTTCACTGTAGTAGAATAGCATATTTTGCATGACTGAACATAGAGCATTTCTTTACATTTGGCTTGGTTTATTATTTGCAGATTTATCTTTATATATATTTGGAGGAAAAAATGGTCTGGTATGGAAAAAATTCATGCACCCAATTCAAAAGTGACAATCAAAACTATCTATGCTTTACTTACAAGAAAAGTAAATTACTTATATTCCTCATGAATTTCAACATAATTTAGCAAGAAGATATTGAGAAATAGGATTTTGAAAATTGATAAGACTATAAGGGTCAGCCAGATATTAGGGATTAGGTAGAACTGATTCCAGGGTATAGTAACAATGTGTCCTTAATTGCTGACAGGAAATTGATACGATTGATTAATTATTAGCGAATTTCGTGCTTCAGCCAGACGCTCCCCTTAAGTGGATTCGTTATCAGAGGCATTTTTCCGGTCCCGATTAACCGCGGATAACGACGACCCCCTGGTACAGTACTGAAATAACAGAAATATATAACTAAATGCATACACATAAAAATTATGTATACAGTACCGTAACATGTTATTGTACTCATATACAACAAATAACTTAAATGTGATACTTATCAGCATTCATGAGTGACAGTGACATGGCGCAGTGAAGAGGTGTAATGATTGCAGTTGAGGAGACGAGCACTTTAAACTGTTTTCATTAATGTTTATGTATCTGAAATATGAAATAAATATTTGGAAATGTCTCATATTTCAAATTCTTTGTAAATATTAAAAAAATTGCAAAATATAATTCATAACAGAAAAAAACCTTACAAATTATGAGGGATTTTGAAATGTGGGGGGAAGAATTATGTTTTTTTTACTGCATCTATTATTCTTACCAAACCTGTGTCCTTTTCCCTTCATTGCGCTTTCACCTCCCTTGCATGCACATGGAAGCCTTCATTCATACATACACAAAATAAAAAATTAAAGGGATTAATATAGATATCAATCAAATTGGAATAAAAAGCTTTTATTAAATTGTCAATTATTAATTGCTATAACAAGTACAGCAACTAAGATTTACACAGGAAATTCTTATGTACAAAATTTGATAAGGACAGCTATTCTCATCCTCTGTTCAAGTTTCTCCATATACAGTACTGTTTATAATCTTGTACAGTATTGTATGCTTCAAAAGCCTCTCTCAGCAACACACATAAATTCCTTTCATATAATTATTCGTACATAATCTCACCCTACAAAATCTATGCAAACAAAACCAATTTACATTCTAAACATTTGTATATTCAAGGATTTGTTTTGAAAATAATTTCTTAGGAACAGCATATAAAAACTCCTCAAAATTCCATCCAACACAACTGTCACACAGAACATCTTTACAGATGCCTTAACAATTACATACAGGGAAACTTTGTTATCCTTTGGTAATGATACTTAATGTTAAACAATTATATCTAGATTTAGCCAGAAAACTGGGTAAATACACATAGAGAAGCTATGCCTTAAAGTATGTAAATGATGCTTCAATATGTGTACACTACTGTAGTTATAAATTTAATATCTGCTCATGCAATTTATTTCAAGCTAACCATCAATGCTTTTTGACATTAATTGCTGCTAAAAACTACAAATATATTAAGACTGATTTAGCAAAGATAAAAATATTACAAAATACAAAACATCACTAGAACTTTTATGTATTCAAAATCATTTGAATGAATATGAATGGATTAGGATTACTAACCTTCCTTAGTAGATCACGGCTATACACGTGGGGAAAGCTCATGATACATTCACATAACAATACCTCATGGGCAGTAACACATCTGAGACATTCAATCTCACTTCAGCCTAACTAAGGTTTAGTATGGGGTGTTCCAAGAAATTATTTCTGGCATTTGATTAAGCATTAAAAACAACTGTACATTTCAGTAAAATCATCTACCGTATATACTCGTCCATAATCCTCCCTCGTTTATAGGTCGAACCTGATACTTTGACCAAGAAATCATTAATTTATGATATTCCTCGTTTATAGTTTGACCCACGTTTTTGAGGGTAATGGAACAACAAAACCTTCAGTAAAAACACTCTACGTCCTATAAACTGAGGCTTGCCGTGCCTGAAACACCGAGTGCCGAAGGCAAATTGTTTGCCATTTATTATTACGACACTTTACACTGAAACGCGGGTAGTTTCAACAAAAATATTGTATCTTTCCATTCAAGTATTTATTCGTTAATTAGGAGGGAATATTATTGTAATACAACAGTTTTTTAACTGAAAACCATTCGAAAAGCGATTATGATAACATCTTTTGAACAACGAAACAAAGCAAAAGTTGATTGTTTTCGTCATGATTTTATCCCACTTTCCACTGTAATACGTACGTCATTTCAGAAAAAATATTACATTTCCGTGAATGCATTATATCAAGCACAGTATGAATAGAATATCATTGTAATATAACAGTATTTTAACCGAAAACTATTAAAAAAAACGAGTAACTTCTCTTGAACATCAGAAGGTTAGGTAAAATCTTTTGTTTTCGTCATGTATTTTATCCTATTTTACATTGAAATACCTCACGTTTCAGCAAAACTACTATTTATTTCCGAGAATATGTTCATTCAGGCACAGTTAAGGTAAAATATACGTGTGATGTAACAGTTTCTTAACTGAAAACGATTCGAAAAACATGTGTATCGTCTAGCTGATACGCAACAGCTGGTGGTGCATCATGCATCGTTGTAAACAATAGGAGGTTGAAGTGGATTACCGGGTATTATATTAAGTGTGAAATATCGAAAAGGTTTTTATTACCGGTATTTTTTGTAGATCAATGAGTACTGTGATACTGTATATGATATGATGTTAGCCTGTGCTAAGAACTTCAACATAGACTACTGAAAGCACATTGTAAGGTAATTTAGCCTATTGTAAGTTGGTGAGCTTCATCTGCTGAAGGAATTGCAGAACTTTTCATTACTAATTGGCACATATTTTACGTTTCCATTGTTTAAAGGCAGTAAATGGTAAATATTTTTCATGTCTGAAGTTAAAAGTTGCTCCTCGCCCTTCCCATCATGCACGGGTTCAACCTAACAAAACTATTACCTATGTAGAGGTCGACCCCCAATTTTTTGCCTAAAAATTTGGTCTTACGAACTCGAACTACACACGAGTATATACGGTAACTAAAAAAACTAAGAATGCAGAAACAAATTTCAGAAGCATTAATTTAACACACTTGTCTTAGCCTTCAGAATGGGGTAACAGAAAGGGAGATAAAAACTGACATTATTATTATATCTTTCAAAGAGGTTCCTTGTGTGAAACGTACTCATTTACTTTTAATGGAATCTGAAAGGTTTATTTTATGCTATACTATATTCAGTTTGTTATTTTACCAATCACACAATACAAAATCAGTGGCAGATCTAGATTTGTAAGGGAGGTGTTCATGGTAAAAGTAATTCAAATTATGAATAAATGATGCCAGAGATTGAGGCTGCACAGCAGCTAAACATGATGGCAAAACTGTCTTTACACAGAACAGCACCATGGGTCTCATGGCTCTTGGTGAGTAGAGCACTGGCAGGGATGAGGTGGGGAGAGGACAAATAGGAATGCTTTCACTACTTCCAGGTGGGAATCACCCCCCCAACCCACCCAGAAAAAAAAATGAATTGAGGTATATGGCATGTATAAATAAATTTAAAATGTACATATGTAATCTAAGAGAAAGCAATAAGCATGTGCAAAATGTATGGCTTTCAAACAAAATTTCAGTGTCAATCACTTGGTGGAAATTTTACTGAACTAAGATTTGATACTTTTTCGAATTTATAAAAATGCATAGTATTGTTTTCAAAATAAGTGAACTGTTGATACTTCTGATTCTCTAGTTCATAAAAAGGGAAGGTTTGTTTGAACTTAATGAACTCAATCTGGATCTGCCACTGACAATGATATTCATGTATAAAAATTAGAAGCAATTATACATGACTGATGCATGCAAGAATAAAATGAACACTCTTCTAATGATATAAAATTCAAACTTGGAGAGACTAGTACAATAGAGATACTTCTTTTGCCAGATAATATTTCTTTATAAATACAAAATCTAGTATACACAAGTATCTTATGCATCACACTGATACTCTTTAAGTTCTACTATATAAAAATCCAAACACCTAATAACTAATGAAAAGTGTTCTCTTCCAGACTGAATATAGCACGGTAATTACATAGTCCATTGTAAAGTTTGTAAATAAACCAAAATCTGTTTCATAAATTACTGTTAATATAATGCTACACACGAGTGACTGTACACTGACAGATTCCTATATGAATGAAAAGCTTGGACAGCTGACACACACCCGCATTTAGATGTAAAATAATCTGTTGATGTTTCATTTAAGAAAACATGTGCACATTTAGGGCAAGAAGACTGCTGAGTGGTGTCATCACAGTTTACTGCTCATCCGAACTGAAAGAAAAGTAAAAGAAACCTCTTAAACACCATAAATAAATGTCAAACTTAATGACTTTAAAATAAGAAAAAGACAATACATGTACAAGAATACCTTGATGAGGCATGGGTTTTTAACTCATGAATTGTTAATATACAGGCATCACCCGTGTTACGGAAACCCGGGTTACGTAAACATGCACTCACAGAATTTTGAAATTATGACCAAAATATTCGGGATACGGGCAACAAATTTGCCCTTACGGAATTTGGGTAAAATTTTAAATTGAAAAAAAAAAAAAAAATAAGTACAGTCAATCCTCACATTACGCGGTCCCGCATTCCGCGTTTCACCTTTAACGCGGTGCCTTGCCAGAACCTAACATGCTCACATTCCGCGGTCGTGAACCCCATTACGCGGAGAGCGGCTGGCAAGCCGCGCCATTTTTGGATCCAAACCTCCCGCCATCCGCCATGTTGTGTAAGAGGCGCGAAAATGGTGCGCACAAGGTCGCCCAGTCATCAAAACATTACCGAGTTCTTTACCCGCCACCCACCACAACCGGCCCAAGTCAGTGATAGTGATAATTATAGTGAGGATATGGACTTATATGGACTTTGAGGGGTTTAACAAAGAGGCCCTGCAAGCCTCTGTGGTGGATAGTGATACAATTGATACCAGTGATACAGGTGAGGGCCAATAATCTGCCCTCTGCCTCGGAACCAACCCCCCATCCCCGTGTGCCCAGCCATCTTTTCTACTAATGTAAGTGTTAAAAAACCTAATATTATTGATATTTCTCTTAATTATTAATTGTGTGTGCATGCCATCATAAAGTTAAGATAATATTTTTACTACAACATAGTTGTGTGTCGTCAAAAAGTGGAGTTTGGGGATCGGCCTGGACTCCATTTCAATTAATCCCATATGTTATGTTGTTCACTTTACGCGTTCCTCACTTTCCGCGGTACCCTCCGGGTTACATTAACCGCGTAATGTGAGACCCAACTGTAAATAAAAAAATAAAAATAAAAAATAAAATCATAATACAGTAAGTCCCATTGAACGAAAGGGTTAGATTCCACTAAAATGCTTTCATTAAGTGAACTAGGTTCATCGAAACCATTTTTCCCATATAATTTATGTACCAGTGATATCTCCGTTAGCCGGAACAATTGGTGCAGAGCACTTCCGGGAATGAGAGATTTCCAGGTAACGAGACGACTCTCAGAGCCGGAAAAAAATCCCCCATCCCTGAAATTTTCCGGGTACTGGAAAAATGTTCTAAAAAATTCCAGAAAATGCGCTTGATTTTCATATCTCAAACCCGGAAGAAAACTCCCCCATCCCCGTAATTTTCCGGGAACAGTGGTCCCTCGGTTAACGAGCACAATTTGTTCCAGAAGGTTGCTCGTTAACCGAAACCATTGTTTCAATGGGTTTTTGGGTAATTGGTTCCAGCTCACCGAAAATTGCCTAAAATCAACAAAAAATGTATTTAAAGTACACTTACTTTGAGGTATGTATGTAGAAGGCTCCTGGATGATGATGATGATGGGAATTAGAATGGGGGTGGAGGAGAAGGGAGAAGAGTAGGCATTGGGGTGGAAGAGAAGTCATCCCATGGTGCCATTTCACCCATAAAATTTTAGTTCTCTTGGTGTAATTCAAGATTATTTTCTTTAAATCAACACTGCACTGCATTATACAGTATATTGTCAATAAGTAAAATAAATTTCAAATTGACCAATAATTTGCTTGGAAACACAGAAAAAAAAGCATTTAGTTGAAGAGTGTCTCAAGCAAGATGTTACCTCCATTGAAAAGGCAGAGCGACTGACGCCTGTTTGGTGTGTTGACAGGCTGTTTGGCACGCATAAAACTAGTTTCCTGTACTTCAATTATGTTCAATAATTGTTAAAATGACTAATAAATTTAATATCAAACTTTTAAAATTATTGAATAGTATAAACTTCTTACTAAAATAGTAAGGAATTTAAGCCCTAGAACCGATTACTGTATTGGTGGACTAATACTACAGCTGGTGGGCCGCCAAATGCAAGCGAAAACATGTGGAGGGTCGCTCGTTAAAAACTCATTAATCGAGGGATTGCCCTTTAACCGAAGTAAAGAATCTTATGGAAGGTAAATCGTTAACCGAAATCTCGTTAACCGAGGGATCACTGTACTGGGAAAATCTTCTCGTTATTTCGGAAAATATTCCCCTCGGAAAATCGTTCCCAAAGCTGGAATTTTCTGGAAAATTCCGGCATTGGGGACAATTTTCCGAGAAAATTTCAATTCTGGTTATCGTAGAGTTCCGGGTTTGAGGGATTCCAGTTAACAGAGATATTACTATGTATAAGGTGGGGGGGGAAGTGTTCCTGTACTCAGCTCTGTGGCAAAATAATTGCATCACATCAAAATACTGAAGATAAGAACAATAAAACATAAAGGTACATAAACAGAGTTGTCAATTGTTGCTTGTGGTAATATTAATTCATTCACTCTAGTACAGTATTGATACAATGTAACTTACTATGTTATCGTAGAAAAATGCATAGTTTATATAATTTGATTATCACTGAGCCCGTCATCATTTTCAAATTACACTAAATACAAGATATGTATTTCTCCCATATGTTCGCCTGGCTATGCCTGGCAACGGGAGTGAATGACCCCTAGTTGAGTGTCTTCTGTAGTTGTAACTTTCCTCACTCCCTGCCATATTTCACTGGATTTACTGTTATTATTAGTGTTTACTGATATAATAGTGCTAAATAGTGATTGGCATTGTAGCTAATGGGCCAAGCTGTGAGGTGCTAGCTGGCTCAGTTAGGGAGGGAGTGTTGCTAGGGAGACAGAGGGGGTACCTCCCAATTGTTCTCTGTTACTATGGGGAAGCATGCAGTGTATGCAAATAGCAACTGTGTTAAACTTTCATTTGGTTTTTATTTACTGGTTTAGCAATACAATATTTTTTTGTTGTACAATATAGTATCATGAATGACAGTCATAGTAGAATGAGAGAGAAAGGCAGAATGTTGGTGGGTGGGTGGTGATGGCGAGATGATGCATCAATCGGTTTATTTGGTAACACTGGTTGCAGCATTGCCAGACACAATTGAACAGCTGATGTCTATCCACAAAATTGAGTGTAAGTATAAATGAACGTTATATTCTTTCTACATTACATTAGGTAGGTAGTAGGCAGCCACCAAACAGGGAGGTACTACCGCCTGGGAAGATACTGGAAGCATAATGTATTGTCTAATGGTAGACCCTGCTGCCATATGGCATCACGAAAATTGTGACCAAATCCCAGGTTGCTGATCTGACTTTCTGCCTCATTTACACACAATTGTAGGGTCTCAATTTATTCTCTTACCATTGACAACACAACATACATACAGCTCCTGCCCTACTTACGGCCTACGACCGCCTCAGCCATACCAAAACTTTGTCAAATTACGTATTTTCGAGTCCCAACGTCAGTGATTGCGCTGTGTACTGACAAAATTTTTGTTTGTAATTCACTTTTAAAATGGCTAGCAAGCGTAAAAGTGAGAGTTTTGTGGTGCTGAGAAGAAAAAGAGACACCCATTTTAGATTTTCTATGTATTATTTAAGCATTTCCAACTTACGACCATTTCGACTTACAACCTGGATTTGGGTCCCTAACCCCGTCGTAAGTCGGGAAGGAGCTGTATATTGTTTCTTACTCTTGATCTTTTTTCATTTTTGTATTTCTTTATGGTTCTTTATTATTATTATTATTATTATTATTATTATTATTACTTTTACATTTTCGCCCCCAGGGCCTGATGTGAGTCAGTGACCTGTGCCCGGGTGGGCTAATGCCTGTAAAAAAAATTAATAATAAATAAATAAATAAATAAAAAAATAAAAAATAATAAAAATTATGGATTGAGAATAACAAATAAACAATGTACAGTATTCTACAATATTGAACTAACATGAATGAGCGAGAGAGGCAGTGTTGGTGAGAGCAGTGGGTGGGAGGGAGGGAGGAAGGTGAAATTATGATTTAAGTGGTAATAATAAGAGGTAGTGGTGATTATGGGAGCAAATTGGCAAATGGGTAGTAAAAAATTGCTTTCGTTATAGTGTCCTTTCGTTCAAAGGATTAATGTTCATTGGGGACTTACTGTATATAACAAAGAAATTCACCAAAATTTTAACATTATTTTGTGTGGATTCTAGGTGGTTGCTACAAGATTGTTGATGACCCACAACAACAACAATGGGGCTGGTCAGTTAGAATTCATTCCCCAGCTTGTGTCCATGTTTGCATCTGTGTTCAGGACTGTGTTACTGTATGGTATACCCTTATTTAAGATGAGTGGAAAAGCCATCAAGTTCAAGTGAAAGTATGGTGATAAAAGAATTACATTGGACATTAAACTTCATGTTTTAAGAAGGTAGCTCCCAGTGGCTCCGATTGCACCACCTCACATCACCACCCCATGCAGCACTCAAATTTGTTTCTGGTAAGTTAAATTCAAGCGTTATGTCCATTTAGTGTCATGTTACATGATGTATGTGTTTAAAACTGTTTATTTTCATTCATATAAGTACTTGTACAGTATTAGGTTTTTGGCAGAAATTTTTTTCCTTAGGAATGCATCTCAAATTATTTAGTGTACTAATTGGAGTCAATGGGAAAATTGGTCCCGCAGTTACGGAGTTTGTGTTACGGAAAATTTTTGCAGGAAAGGAACCCTTCCATAACCCGGGGATGCCCGTAGTTCAGTGGTTCTCTCAGCCCAACAGAGCAATCGCATAAGCTTACCTTAACATTTAGCTGGGTGGGGTAAATATCAGACAAGAAGAAGTTTATACAACATCAACCATTTGATTTAGTTCCAAAGTGAGTTATGAAACATACAATAGGCACATCTTTACTAACCTTATATTCAATAGGTAACTAATTTCCCTGGTTTATTTTCACCTCAGCATAAACACGAGTCTTCAGGTTCACCTTCTGGGGGAGTCACTTTAAAAGAATCTTTGTTCATAGTCTCAAGTTCTTTCCGAGACCTATTTGAGTCACTGAGCTGTCTTGCTATGTCAGCAAACATTTCTTCAACTCCTGCACCAGTCTTGCAGGAGGTCTTATATATTCCAGATATAAGATTGTGACACTGTTCACTGCAATATTTTAGGAAACTCGGTAATAAAGACTTCTGGGTATAATAAGCATCTAGTATAACACTTAAATTTATATTTTATCTTCAAAAACATATAACAAAGTAACAAGTAAACCAAGCAATTTCCTCAAGTCTCACCTACCCTTGCACAACTTGACATTCCTCAAGGGTGACATCCTCTCAGTCACACATTCTGATCCATCACTTTACTTTAAGTTATCCTTTAATCTTTCTCACACAGTCTCTCATATCCATTCTTCCTACATGTTTTAATAAAGTGTATCACACATTTGATGAGCATATAAAGGCCATCACCCACTGATGTCCTTAAAACGATGCCCTATCCAAGGATAAAGTTAGTAGGAGCAGTGGTATACTATACCGTACTAGTATGAAACTAAAGAATATTGATGAACATGCAGTAAATGTATTATCCATAAAGAATCTATTACAGTACTGCTTAATTCTCAGGATGAACCATATTGATTGTTATTGTAAAGTGTGTGAACTTCATTAAACCTTGAGGTCACAGCCATGGCTGATTATCATAAATAGCAAGTATTAGAAAACTCTGAAGGCAAATTTGGAATGTTAAATATTTCAATGAAGTTCACTGGAAAAGCTCAGGTGTTTTCCCTGAAATGGTGTTTTCCTATGGACTTATTATTTTTAATTTCTGAATCAAATATGGAGAGGATATTCCTGAGCTATTTCAACCTAGGTGGCTTAGTGATTTAGCCTTCTTAGTTAAAATATATTGTTCTCTCAACAAATTGAATTTGAGCCTCCAATACCATGAAAAATTTACTTTTACCGTTTAGATATATTAAATTCTTTGAAAGAAAATTAAGAAATTATGCAGAAATAACCGAGAGAAGGAAATGTCGTTCAGTCTACAGAGCTCTTGGATAAAGAACCCAATAGTACAGTATACACTGAAAGCTGTTCCAGCATTTCATTTGTCACTGTCTGGTAGAACTAAAAATCTGCATAGGAGTAAATGAAAAAAATGGAAATCAAAATTCTACAAGAGTTGCAAGAAAATCAATACTGTAGTTACCCAATAAGTAACACTAACTTGTACACCTAATAGTCAGTAAACAAGAGTTAGGAATAGAGCAAGACTGATAAAAACAGAAAGAAGGATATAGTACTGTACAGTATGCAGAGCACATAATAATGGTTACAAGATAAGAGCTAAACAGTTACCTACCAAAAGTTTTCCATATCAGCATCAGTGACTTGAATTTGACTCTTGAGATCATACTTGTTGCCACAAAGGAATATCTTGGCACTCTCAGCATATGTTACAATATCTAGAAGATGCTGGGATAGGATGTTGAAGGAATCAGGATTATCTAGTGCAAACACTAGAATAGCACCCTCAGCAAACTTGTAATAAGAAGACGTTATACTGGCTACTCTCTCCATGCCGCCCGTATCCCAAAGTTGAAGCTGAGAGGAATAAGAAACCTGGGATGTGGTGAACTTAGTCATATTTTTAGATTTATGATCACACTGATTTTTAAAGCTTGGAAAGTTAGAGAATTTATTTTATATATATATATATATATATATATATATATATATATATATATATATATATATATATATATATATATATACAGTATATATATATATATATATATATATATATATATATATATATAATATATATATATATGTATATGTATGTATGTGTATATATACAGTATATATATATGTATGTGTATATATACAGTATATATATACAGTATATATATATATATATATATATATATATATATATATATATATATATATATATATATATATATATATATATATATATATATATATATATATATATATATATATATGCATTTCCACCATTTTAAAGATAGAGAACTGAAATTTGGTAGGGAGGTGCAGGTGGCTTTGGGACTAGTTATGCACTATCTCCTGTCTCTCCACAAGGGATAAATTGGCCCCTCAGGGACCGATTATGACACCCCCCACCTGCAGATTGACAGTTTTGAAGACAGCCAAAATTTAGTAAGGAAGTGCAGGTGGTCTAGGGGATGGTTGTACACATCTCCCGTCCCTCCATAATAAGTGAGTCAGATGCATTTCCGCAGTTTTGAAGACAGAGAGCTAAAATATAGCCGAAGTTGGATTACTAATTTAGTATACAGTGGTCCCTCGGTTAACAAACACAATTCGTTCCAGAAGGTTGCTCATTAACCGAAAAATTCGTTAACCGAAACCATTGTTTCAATGGGTTTTTGGGCAATTGGTTCCAGCTCACCGAAAATTACATACAAACTAAAAATAAATGCAGTAAAGTACACTTACTTTGAGGTGTGCATGTAGAAGGCTCCTGGTTGATGATGATGATGATGATGATGATGATGGGAATTGAATGCGGGGTGGGAGGGCGAAGGCATTTGGTGAAGGTGACGCTGCGCCGCTACAGTATACAGTGATCCCTCGGTTAACAAACGCCTCGGTTAACGAAATTTTGGTTAACGAATTACCTTCCATAAGAATATTAAATTTGGTTAACGAATTCCTTACGAATTTTTCCCAACATGCTTTCGCCTGCTCACCAGCTGTAGTATTAGTCCGCCAATACAGTACAGTAATCGGTTTTAGGGCTTAAATTCGTTACCATTTGAGGAAATATCAAGAAGGTTGTACTATTCAATAATTTTCCAAGTCTTATATTAAAATTTTTAGTCATTTTAACAATTATTTAACATAATTGAAGTATAGGGAACTAGTTTTTAGCGCGCCAAACAGCCACTTGACTCGCCCAGAATGGCGTCAGTTTGTGTCTCTGCTCAGTGGAGAAAGCATCTTGCTTGAGACTCTTGAACATAATTTTTTTTTACATTTTTACAGTACAATTATTGGTTGTTTTGAAATTTATTTTACATATTGACAATATATAATACAGTGCAGTGTTGATTTAAAGAAAATAATCTTGAATTACACCAAGAGAACTTAAAATTTTATGGGTGAAATGGCAGCATGAAGCATGGGGTGACTTCTCTTCCACCCCCACTTCCTTCTCTTCTCCCTTCTCCTTCACCCCCACTTCTAATTCCCATCATCATCAACCAGGAGCCTTCTACATGCACACCTCAAAGTAAGAGTATTTTATTGCATTTATTTTTAGTTTGTATGTAATTTTCAGTGAGCTGGAACCAATTACCCAAAATCCCATTGAAACAATGGTTTCGGTTAACGAACGACCTTCTGGAACGAATTGTGTTCGTTAACCGAGGGACCACTGTACCGATTAAATTTTATTATATTCTCCTCCTTTAATACATATACTAAGTTATTTTTATTTTTGGCTGACTAGTCTGAGATCAGGCTTACAGCCTATGAAGGATACAGTGTATACAGTACATGACGCTATGCGGACCATAACTTTGAAAGCGCCAAAAAGGAAAAACACCAGAAAACGTAGTTAAAGTTTTGGAAAATGGAACTCGCCACATCTCTTGAACTAGACCAAGTCCCAGGTTGCTGATCTGATTTTCTGCCTCATTTACACACAATTGCAGAGTTTCAATTGTTTCTCTTACTTCGACAACACAACATACATACAGGTACAGTATATTGTTACTCACTATTTTTGTTTTTTGTATTTCTTTGTAGTGATATCTCCATTAGCCAGAACAATTGGTACAGAGCACTTCCAGCATGGAGAGATTTCTGGGTAACGAAACGACTCTCTCAAAGCAGCAAAAATATCCTTCATCCCCGGAATTTTTTGGGTACAGTAGGGTTGGATATATCGACTTCATAAAAAGATTTTTTTATATCGCGGCTACCAAAATTATCGACATTTTCCTATATACAGGTATAGCGATAATTTTTCTATTTCGAGAAGGGAAATCATGCAGGAAATATTTCAAATTTATCACTACTACCAAAATTATCGACATTTTCCAATATACAGTAGACTCGCCTACAAAGTTATGGTCTGTATACCTTCATATGTTAGATATTTTAAGTAAGGTTTTCACCATAACAGATTTTAGTGTAAACAAACTCATACCTTTACTTCTTTGTCTCCAGTACGATAAACCTTTTCATAATGATCTAATCCCAGAGTAGACTTCCTGTCTGTAGCTGTAACGAATGTATTTGTGGCATAACGTCGGAAAAGTGAACTTTTCCCTACACCATATTCTCCACACAAAATTATTTTCTGCTCTGGGACTTTGACACTTGCCATTGCAATATCTGAAAAAGATGATGATAAATGTAAATTTAGTTTTGTATTACAAATATAGATATAACAAAGAAGAGTTATGTAGCTCATACCAAATAGTAATACACTGTATAATATATGGCACAGTACTGTAATGTAGTTCCTGATGTCAATCAAGGAGCAGAGGCAACCTGAAAGACAGCAATAACATGGTAGATAAGTACAGTACCTTACTGTAGCTACAAGCTTTTTGATACTGTAATATCTGTAGCTACATAACCTGTCCTCATTGAGTTATGCAAAAAAAAAACCCCACAGTATATACATGTAACTGCAAACAGTACATTAATATTCAAATCACAATGCTGAACAAAGCATAAACTAAATACAGATATTAAATAAGAAAACACAGTTTCAAAATTCACATGTACTATCATGGACAAAAGTTCGCTCCTTCCTAAACTGAAGCAGTATCGACCCGCACAGCACACCAGCACCAGATAACAATCAGGGTAAGTCAGTTCGGAGAGTCATTCGTGTCTCAGTTTCACTACAGGGAGCGAACTTTTGTCTACGATAGTACACTTATATTATAACTAAAATTGGTTAGGTTGGTGTGGATGAAGGCCTTGCAAAGCTTCATATAAGGAGGAATCCCAAAGATTATGAAATCTTCCCCCCTGTAAAACCATATCTTAAGACCAAATTCCACCTTAAATGAACATAACATAAGAACATAAGAAAGTGGGATACTGCAGGAGGCCGACTGGCCCATACAGGGCAGATCCCTTTCACACCCATCCCAGCACTTCCATGTGCCTATCCAACTTCGTCTTGAAGCTCCCTAGCGTCCCCGATCCTACTATAGCACTCGGTAGTCTATTCCACATATCCACAACTCTATTACCAAACCAGTGCTTGCCTATATCCTTTCTGAATCGGAATTTATCTAATTTAAAGCCATTTGTTCTAGTTATTTCGTTATTACTGAGCTTCAGAACATCTTCCATTTTACCCTTGTTAATCCCACTTACCCACTTGTACACCTCTATCATATCTCCCCTAACTCGATGCCTCTCTAATGAATGTAAGCCTAAGCTTTTCAGTCTTTCTTCATATGGAAGGTTTCTAATATTATGGATCATTTTTGTCATTCTTCTTTGTACTCTCTCCAAAGAATCTATGTCCATTCTATAATAAGGACACCAGAACTGAACCGCATAATCCATGTGTGGCCTCACTAATGCTAGGTAAAGTTTCAAGATAACGTCAGCAGTTCTGTTACTCACAGACCTAGATATGAACCCAAGAATCCTGTTTGCCTTGTTGCGAACGCTAATACATTGTTTTTTAGGTTTCAAGTCGTTGCTAACAAATACACCTACCGTAGATCTTTTTCACAAACTGAGTTTTCTATTTCCGTGTTACCTAGTTTATACTTAACGTTTGTATTCGTCTTCCCTATCTGTAGTACCTTGTATTTATCAGTATTAAAATTCATTTGCCAGTCTACTGACCACTCATGTAAGGTATCTAGATCTCTTTGAAGGTGTTCAAAGTCACTGTCTGAATTTATCACTCTCCCCATTTTGGTATCATCTGCAAGTTACTAATCCCCTACTAGTTATGCCCTAATCAAGATCATTAATGAATATAACAAACAGCTTTGACCGCACCCCAGTCTGACTTTAATCCACATTTATGCTGACTCTTTGTTTCTAGTTAACCATGACCTAATCCATTTAATACTGATCCCACCTATTCCATGTGCTTCTACCTTCATATCAATCTCTCATGAGGGACTCTATCGAATGCTTTACTGAAATCTAAATAAATTATATCATATGACTTATCATTATCTACCGCTTCATATACTTCTGAGAAAAAGCTAAGCAAATTTGTGAAACAAGAACGTCCCTGGGTGAACCCGTGCTGAGAAGAATGAATTAAGTTGAATGTTTCAAGGTGGCTTCTGATTTTTGTAGCAATAATTGACTCTAGCAACTTGCCTATGATTGACGTGAGACTAATGGGGCGGTAATTTGATGCTATTGATTTATCACCCTTTTTGAAAATCGGAACTACATTTGCAAGTTTCCAAGCTTCTGGCACTAGGCCCGATTCTAATGACTTATTAAATAAAACTGCTAATGGATTACTCAACTCATATCTACATTCTTTTAATATTCTAGCATATACCTCGTCTGGACCAGGCGATTTATGAGGCTTCAGTTTGTTAATTACTTTAAGCACATAGTTACTAGTAATATTGATATTCATCAACATATTTTCTATACTGTCGTTATATACCTTATGAACTTCTGGAAACTGTGCTAGGTTTTCATTTGTGAATACGGAGCGAAAATGACTATTTAACGTACTACACATTTCTAACTCATCATCAGTCATTTTCTCTATGCGTAGTTTTAAAGGACCCTATTGTATCTCTAACCTTTGATTTATACAGTTGATAAAAAGCTTTGGGGTTATTTTTGATTCGTTTGCTACCTTGATTTCATAATTTCTCTTTGCTTTCTAATTTCTGTTTTTACCTGTCTGTTAAGTTCAATGTAAGTAACCAAGTAAGTGATTTTCGCCTTTCTTAACTTTTCTATATACTCCTTTCTTTTTCCCTAGAAGATCTAAGAGTCTATTATTCATCCATTTTGGTTGGTTCCGTATCGATCTGAATTTTCTTTTATGGATGTGTTTATTTTGGGCATTATTGATTGTCGCAATAAATTGTTCATAAGTAGCTGCTAAATTAAATTCGGGGTTATCCCGTCCTAAGTTGACAGTTTCCGGAGGTGTGGGGGGGATTAATCTTTTGACCATAGGGTCATCCCTTAGGTCTCTCCTTAAGCTACCGTAATTAGCCTTCCTAAAATCCGGGATCAAGGCCGAATTTTCCTTCTTCCTGCCATCCCATATTATGTTAAAATATATGGCTTTATGATCACTGTTTCCTAGTTCGTCTCCAATCCCAACATCTTTTACTAGATTTTCGTTATTACTGAGAACTAAATCGAGGATATTATTTCCTCTAGTGGGCGAGTTTATGAATTGATATAAAAAACTATCTTGTACTACTTCTAGAAAATCTTCAGATTCATTATCGCTAAGTTGATTTTTCCAATCTATGCCTGAAAAGTTGAAATCGCCTAGAATACATACAGTGTTTCTATCAGATGCCTTCTTTATTTCCTCCCATAGCAATTTACCATTGTTCCTACTCAAATTAGGTGGTCTATATATAACACCAATGACTACGGATTCACTGCCCTCACCAATCTCTACCCAAATACTTTCATTGTCGCTATTTGATAGCATAAGTCTTAAACTTAATTCTTGTTAATCCTCTGTAAAATAGATTTGTTCCTGATATTCCTGACCTGTAAACAAAAGTTGTGGATGCTCCCACATAACAGACGACCATGTTTTGGTTCACATCGTCTGCTGTATGGGAGTGACCGCGGTCTTTGTTTACATGTTAAGAAATGAACAACGATCTCACCAGGAATATTTATTACAATTTATTGACGATTGATCTGCTGACGCATTATTTGTTTTTGTTTATTTTCTTACTATATTTTCATCAGTGAGTTCTGATATAATAATCATTTCTTGTTCAAATGCTTCGTTTGGTAGATAATTAGGTGCTTAGACAGGCACTAGTTTGTCTTCCTGGTGGTAATGCAGTGATGATGTCTCATCCCAGGATGTAAACAGCCAAAATCTAATTAATGTACTTCAAAACACTCCCCCGCCAGGGGTCGGATTGACTACGATGCTCAGTGTATGCTATGAGCCATTCAGTACGAGCAGCTGCTCTCGCATCCACAAAAATCATATAATTGCACGATATCACAGCAAGTACTTTCTGTTTGATATACCGGGGGGTCGGCTAGGAAGTTAGGTGAGGTTAGGTAGGTTTGTTTGGTTAGGCCTTCTAACAATGCTTCTGCTGCTTGTTTTTCTTATCAACTGAGGTTAGCTTAGGTTTAATTTAGAAATAACCACTTTTTAAAACATCTGCACAAACTACGTCAGTGTCCATCATAAAACACAGTGAAATTGCAGCATTTTTATAATCGTTTTTTATGAAAAATCGGCTGTGGAGCAGTCGTCAACAATTACCCAATTTATATTGGATTGAATTCATTTGTTTTTCTAAAATGTTGTTTGCAAGATAGTAAGTAGAAAATAAAAGCAACAATGCACAGGTTAGGAAGATAGGTGAGATTAGGTGAGGCTAGGTAGATTAGGTGAGGCTAGGTGGGTTAGGTTAGGTTTGGTTAGATAGGTTAGGTAAGAGGTAAGGTTAGGTGAGGTTCGGTAGCTAATATATAACTCATGACCTTCAGCGGTTCAGAATTATGGGGGATGTTTTTAGACACATTTTTATATGCTAATTACTTTCACTTCTATTAATTTTCTGGGTATCATTGCAGTTTCGGCCAATGCACGGCCGACTGTTTTAACCATCCCCAACCTTTAGATCTTCTTATATGGAGTACTTCTAATCCCATTTCAACCAGGGGGCAAAAAATAATAATGTCAGAAATGAATTTTAAATTTTTTCCTTACTTAGGGATGGGGGGGGGGCAACTCTAAAACAGATACTTCCCCCAGAAATAAAGGTCAAATTAGATTAAATCACACCAAAATACACAGGATAAACTAATTTCGGTGAATTTATAGTAAGGCACCGGTCTTTCTCTCGCTGTTATTAATATGTGCAGTAATTTGTAATTTTTAAACATTTCGAAGACATTTTTCTTCTATGATATTTCCGCCGGAAAGTAAGGATAACCGAGATTTTAATTTTCCGATATTATTAGATTCAGTCGCCCACGAGCACCGCCATGTGTTATTTACATCTCGGGAGAAGCTCTGACCCCACCTCAGCTCGTGCTACGTTGTCTCCGTGTCAGCATCTACAGCGCGTGTGCGGGGTGGTGTGGGAGATTTTTATTGGGTATAGAGAGAGGAGACTTATTATTAGGCAAGTGTTTTTTGTCTTAACCAATGAACAATGTGCGGCTGTGTCGGCAGCGGAGATTTGAATTTTCAGTACAGGGGTACAAGATATGGCTGAACAGGTTGAAGAGCTGTACCGACATTGTGATATAGATTATTTTACATCAATTGCCCAGTTTCATCAGAAAAATTGAGAGGCCATTTCATTTTTTAGAAAACACGGTGTATTAACAAACAACGTTACTTGTCCCAAGTGTAATAATCAGTGTACACTGCATGAAGAACAACATATTTGGTCCGATTTTTCTTCAGATTAAGGTAAGATGTGGGGTCATGAACAACAGGGGTTAGGTTGATTGGTTGGTTTCTCACACAGAAAAAATTGGTAGGTTAAGTTAGCTTACATTTCTTTCAGTATTAGAAATATGTTTCTTCCTATGGTTTTTCATGGGTTTTGAACGATTTTTGCCTTGTTCTCCATTGAATATAACCTGTTTCTATGATTTACCCAACAAAACACGGGAGAGGGGAGGATGTGTCTGAAAAACGAGTGATTTCCGGAGGAAATGAATATCAATTCATTCAAAACTCGTCAAAAACCATAGGAAAAACTTATTTTTAATATACAAAGAAAGAACGGTGTCTGCTATAAATTTACCCTAATTTCTAAACTACTGTATTAGGCCATATTGCCCGAAACTGCAATTTTACCATTTTCTTGGGCAAATGCTGTGTTTTCTAGATATATGCGAGTTAAGACAGCGTTCTTACAGTCACGTCATCAGCTGTGATGTGGGAGATGTAAACAATGTACCGTTAGGGCTAATATATGAGAAGTGGCAGTCAGCGGTTCGGTAATTATGAGGGTATTTTTAGACAGTTTTGTACGCTGATTACTTTCAGTTCTATTCAATTTCTTGTGTAAATACTTAAATTTTATAGATATAGGTTAGGCTAGCACATGAATTTTGCCATTTTTATATTTTCCCAACATAATACAGTATCCTCTAATAAAATCAGTGAAAACTGGGTAATTTTAAACCCATTTTCAATGAAAAACAGCGGGCGGTCACGATCAGAAAAATTACGGCACCGGTTAGGTTATGGAAGGTTAGGTCAGGTTCATATAGGCTCTGTGTATTTTCGTTTCCATTCGCGTTCAGTATCATGTAAATAGTATCTCCCAAAATTCTGGTTAACTTCCATAAGTTATTTCTAGTGCTTATGATCTCCTCCACCTTTACCAATAATGACAATAAATGTATCATTGAAAGTCCCATCCAAAAATAAGTGAATAACAAAGCAGTGATCCTCCTCTGAGGTCTTACTAAATAAATACAATTATGTATCTTCTGGTGCTTCTTACCTGCTCCGTATTAATGAAGAATACTGTAATCACTTTTAACAAAAAAATATCTTCACCAATCCATGATTAATTGTTTACATTTGTTCTCGATATATGCAGTTGTATAGTTATTGGTGGTCGCGCATTTCTTGAACTGTACAGATGAGAATTTCAAGAGTGCCTCGACTTAGTAGTGCAATATACAGTACTTCTATTTTTTTTTCCTTTTATGTTCTAACTAATATCTGTGACTAAATGTTCAGTTTCGGTATACAGTCACGTGGAAGAGTAATAATGATAGGTGATACGAAAGACACAGTGACAACTTATAGTCCGGCCACACCTGAATATATCCCCAACAAAATTGTTGTCTTCAATCAGCTGAGAACTCTCAATTCAAATCAAAAGTTATTCTTAAGTTCAGATGTAACTAAAAAAATATGTTCCCATGTTGATTTTTTTGTAATCAAATTTATGTAAAAATCAACTAAAACATTGATTATAGAATTCAAGATATTATTGTTGAGGTAAATGGTGGCCTCATATTTTGGCGGTAATTTTGAAGCAAACCACAGTGATGGTAAAGAATTTTCCGTTTCTTTTCCTCCCAATTAAACGTGTGATTTTTTCTTTAGCTCTCCCCACGTCTTCTATACTTCTACGATGCTTGGAGATGAGGGTTTTGCAGTATCAAAGAGGTCCAATGTTAAACTGGTGAGAAGTGTCACCATCATTATACTGTATAACCATTTGAATGCATGCACAGGTCATCATAATTAATTTCCAAAATACGGGAATATAAAATCCTTGATAGGCAACGCAAAACACTAGATCCATCCAGTCCCCCCTGCTATTGCGTTGGGAAAGAGATCCTTGCTAAAACTGAGGAAGTAGCCGATAGAATGGAGATGGTTGCTAAGAGGAGTTACAATGAGGCATTAGCAGGGCTACGGGAGGTGACTATTGGTTAATTGAAACCCCGAAAATATTTTTCACATTTATTATGCATAAACATTGTAAACATATCTATGTGATTATTGTAGTATATAACATATATTTAATGTCTGGACAGATTCCCAAGAGTTATGCATATTAATGCATAGATTTTGTAAGCATATTTATGTGAAGTGAACGTAAAACCACATTTTGGAGGTTTCAATTAATCAACAGTTATGCCTACAAAACAATCTTGATGCTCTAAGTGCATGTATGTGTTAAATAACGAGTAACTGATCAACATTATTTTGGTAAATAAAGAAATGAAAAGCAAGCACTTAGCCATATGGATATAGTTACACGGAAAAAGGGAAATGAGGATGAACCATGGTTTTGATGGAAACAATGTGCTCTGGGACGATGCTCATAATGACGAATGGGAGAAACCTCTTTATGAAACATCTTACCTACTAAAGATGAAGCTTCATGAGTATAGGCTGAGATCTTGGAGATAAGAAGTTTGACATGTTCTTTCAGGAGATTAAATGCCTGGCTCTAACCAGGGACAATATCCTTGGACGCTATTCGTACTGGCAGACTCGACACTCACTTACTTAACGAGTGTTACGAACAATAAAGACAGTTAAAGCTTTCAACATCACTCACGAAGGATCTTGTATGCTTTAACTGTAATCAGACATATCTAAGTTGACTCAAAACAATGGTGTTCTCTCTCACATTCAAATTTACTTTATAGGTTGGTTTCAGGAAGTCAGAGAAAATGGGAAAACGGAGGACTCAGGCGTCTTGAAGCGATGAGAAAACGGACGCCTCAGATGGGAGACTCAATAAAGTAGGCCTAGCTACATGTGTTGTGGGCTACTGAGCGTAATGTGAATGGTCTGATTTTACGTTAACTAACATGTCCGACCGTGGTCATTACAGCACGACCTCCAAACAAGCTCCTCACCAACCAGCTCCCTCAGCAAGCCCCTCACCCAACAGGACCTCTGAGCAAGCTTCTCACCACACAGCAACTCCCTAGCACTGCACTGTACATACAATATATATATATATATATATATATATATATATATATATATATATATATATATATATATATATATATATATATATATACAGAAAACGCATTGTGAGTTTCTATTCTTACCTCCATCCTGAGTGTGAGATATTGTAGTGGATTTCTCCCCTACAAACGCTGTTTGTCGCTGCGTAGCCGACCCCACGAATCCCAGTGTGCCTCGTGGTCTAGGTCAACCAGCGCCGCCATACATCACGGAGCGGGGGTCAACTACTACGCCACGCCTACCCCCCGCTATTTAAGACCTGACCTCGTGGTGACCTGTCTCTTTCTACCTACACCAACCAGCCAGCAACACCTCCTCCGCCGCTGCCTGGCGGCCTTCGCTCCTCCTCCGCCTACCTGGCGGTCCTCGTTCCCGCCGGCGAGCATGGCGACCCACAAGCTGTCCTCCTCTGAGCACCCTCACCAACCAGCTCTCTCTATATCACGCTTGTAACCATGCTGCCTTCCCAGCACCAAGCTGCATTGTACATCCAATACAACATGTATACCTGAGAGCACATTGTGAGTTTCCTTTCTCCATCCCATCCTGAGTGTGAACCAAACATCCAAAAATTCCCACAATATCCTACATGTTCGTACGTATGTGAGCCCATTCAAAGAGAAATAGACAAACAAAGAGAATTTGACAACTGGCCACATACAGTACGCCACAAGTTCACTCTGGGTAAACACCTCCGGTACATCACTAATATCTTCAGGTTGGTAAACATCACTTCCGTTACCTGACGATGAATCACGGCCAGGTTCTGATGACACGGACTGCAACATATCTGGCGGAATGGGGACTGGAACCTCAGGACTATGTGGCACTGGGCTCATGGCAGATGGAATCTTGGGATAAATGGTTCCTTGTTTATTTTTTGCATTATATCCCTCTATCTTCACAGAGCAAAATAACAGTCATCACCATGATTTTTAGGCTCCCGCCAAACCATAGGGACTCCAAATGGCATAACTTTTTTCTTACCACATTTTCACAGTCTTAAACCTTCAACACAAATGCGACATACTTTATGTGGCGCTTCTGGTTTATCTATATCACCTATTTTCACTCCATAGAAGGCAAAATATGCATTTTTCACAGATGCGATTATTTCTTGTCATTGCTTATGCATAACAAAGCACCCACATATGTAGCAGAATATGTTTGGATTGTTCAAACATCCACGAGAAGACATATGTACAACAGGAATAGTATCTTAGTAGAGCAAAACAAGGAGATTTAACATTACATCCACGAGGATATTTGGACCCATATTCTAGAACGGGGTGGTAATATCGACAATATTTACCTAGATTTTGCCAAGGCTTTCGACAGTGTACCCCACGAAAGGCTGAAAATCAAACTGGAAGGGTACGGAATTCGGGGAAATGTCCTAGCGTGGATAGAAGACTTTCTACATGACCGCAAGCAATGTGTGGTGATTAATGGCACGAAATCGTCATCTGTACCTGTAACAAGTGGGGTACCGCAGGGTAGTGTATTGGGCCCGCTGTTGTTTGTTTGTTTCATAAATGATATGCCTGACGTTGTACACTCCTCCATACAAATGTTTGCCGATGACGCCAAGTTATTTCGGGAAATTAAGAACCAAGCGGACTGTGAAGAGCTGCAGAAGGACCTCTGTGGGCTCCAGGAATGGTCGAAGGAATGGCTGCTGAGATTCAATGTCACGAAGTGTAAGAGGATGCACCTGGGGCGTACCAACGGTAAGGAGGCGTACCATATGTCCCAACGGGATGAAGAAAATGTACTAGTTGAGACTGTGTGTGAGAAGGACCTAGGTGTGTATGTTGACAATGAGCTGAAGTTCTCGGGCCATTGTGAGAAGAAGGTAAATCAGGCAAATAAATTATTGGGTCTTATAAGAAGGTCGTTCAGATATCTAGACGGTCCGTCCCTCGTGACGATCTTCAGGAGTGAAGTGCTTCCCCATCTGGAGTACTGTCACCCCATCTGGTCCCCGAGATATGCTAGGGACTGTCAGTTGGTTGAAAATGTTCAAAGGAGGGCCACCAAGCTGGTGCCTGCACTTCGGCATCTCAGCTACCCTGCGAGATTGGAGCGCCTGAACTTGCCTAGCTTATACTACAGACGGGCAAGGGGGGACCTAGTTGAGGTTTATAAGCATCTCAGGGGGCACTACTCAGTTGAGTGTCCTTACTTGGAGCTGGCGGACGCTCGCCCCACAAGGGGTCACAGCTCAAGATTGAAGAAGCCGCAAGTCCGGAAAACCGTGAGGGCAAACTTTTTCGGAGTGAGGGTTGTAAACTCTTGGAACAATCTACCAGAAAGTGTTGTGACGGCACCGAGTGTGAGCTCTTTCAAGAGAAGACTTGACCAACACTGGAGCGGGTTCAGGTACATTCAGGAGCCGGTGCATGCCCAGTATTTGCCAACAGTGCGTGACAGAGACGTGACCGATCGCCCGGGCGGCTAGCGAGCCGACCTTTTGGTGAAGAATATAAAGGAAAAGAGTCGTGACCGATCGCCCAAGCGGCTAACAAGCCGATCAGTGGCGAAGAGGATAAAAGTAAAAGTAGGAAAGGAAACAACTTAGGTAATCAATAAAGATTCTTTTCACAACTTGTAATAGGAGCCCTATACACAGCACCAAATAGTATATTTTTCATTTTCAAAATGATCTCACACCATACCGCTTTATCATATAAATGACCATTCAAGAAATTTACATTGTCTTCAAGAGAAATAAGAGAATTCCTCGATAATATAACTACACCTCTACCAGGTTCACTCTGCACACCATCGAATTTACTATTTAACTTTCATTAAAATAATGATGGACTTTTTTGTTTGCCAGTAAATTAAATTCTAAAAACAAAATTAATTCAGAGTTTACTAGCCTATTATAGGCTACCACTTTTGCATCACTGGACTGGTATTTATTTATTTCCCTTTATTATCTATATTTTATAATATTTCTGACTTTACTGTATTTTCACTTCCAACAACTCAATTAATTTATTGAATCATTATTCATCCAAACACAAGGAAGTCGGATAATGCTACTATCAGACTCACCAGCTCTGCTCACCACGTTCTGCCGGGAGTGCCGTACGATATGTTGGGCAAACACCTCATTTTTACCTAGACTTCACTTTTAACTGCTACACTGGCAGTGATTCAGCGCCATCTCCAGGACAAGCATTCAACCAACAAATAGAGAGTGAATTACACTACAGTACTACTGTCAGTAGTAGGTCATTTTGATATTCCTTGGTACAAACACTCCAGTCGCCCGACAGACGACACGACAGCAGAGCTGGTGCAGGGTAAAATAATTGTACTTAACTTCTGCATATTAGTATATCAGGAATTTTATATTTGAGTGACAGATTGTTTTGAAAGGTGAAAATACCAATGTAATGACGTTTAGTGAGAGAAAGATTACGAGTTGGGCTTTTAGGACACGTGTGGGGTGGACAATGGCTGGTCTTGGAAGTGATGTTAAAAATAAGTTAAATGATATCTTCCTGTTATTGTTGTTGACAGTATGACACACACACACACTGTACAATTAGGATGATAAGTATTTGGTAATTTCTGAGAACAGCACTACCATCAAAAGGAGTTGTTCGTTTTCGTTAATTTTTTACTTCACCTTAGTTGATATGAAAAACAAGCAGCAGAAGTATTGTTTAAAGACCTCACCAACCTAACAAATAAACCTACCTAACCTTAACTAACTTCCTGGAGCCCCCAGACCACCTTCCTAGTATATTGAACAGAAAGAACTTACTATGGTACGGTGTAATTTTACGTTTTTTGTGTGGACGAGAGCAACCGTCCGTACCAAACGGTTCTTGAGCATACAGGGAGCATCGGCGTTGATCAAGCCCGGGCTTTTTTAATTTTTTTTAAATATGTCGATATGATTGGCTGTTTACATCCTGGGTTGAGACTTCGCCACCTCATTACCGCCTAATTATCTACCACACAAAGCAACTGCACAAGAAATAATTATTACGTCAGAATTCACGGATAAAAATAAAGTAAGAAAATAAACAGTAAAACAAATAACTCACCCACGGGTCAGTTGTCAATATTAACCATCATTTATAGTAAGTACCTGTATGGTACTGTATTGTTGCATTTTCAACCAATAGGTTTTTTGCTTCAGCCTCTCAAGCCAGTTCCTGGACACTCCACTGTGAAATTACGGCATTTATTCTCGGTTAGGTTAGGTTTGTTTTTCAATATGAAAATTGAATAAAGCATCATGAGATCCAAATTGGTTGAAAATGCAAATTTACCAGAAGTATTTAAAAAAGGTGACAACTTTTTATTTCGGTAATTTATGAGGAAACTGCTAACCCGAGTCATTCATTTTTTCCACAGGTGTTCTTATCATTATAGTAAGTATTTTCAACGAGGTGACAACTTTTTATTTTAATTATACGTATTTATTATTTTTAGTTTTTATATACAATCATAGGTCACCTGTAGTGGGCAGGGAATGAAAGATGAGGGAAATTGCAGAGTAAACACTGTGAAAACAGACCATATGACACTAAAACAAAGTCTTTACATGATTTGTACAAGAAGAAATTAATTATGTACCATAAACACTCCTCTGATAAATCTGCCAAGTCACCGCGTCTCATCTGTTGAGTAAAGATTTATATGAGGTTGAACAAGGAACTTTATATTTATATAAGGAGAAACAGCAAAAAGTAAGAAAAACATTTTATTTTATTTGCAGTGGATGTTTTGTTGTTACCGGCTAAGTTCCTACTAGTGCTATTTTACAGTGAGTGCACTCTGATTGGCTAACTGTCCATTACCGGCAAACAAAACGGCAAAATAGTCACTGACGTTTCGATGATAGTAGGAAAATAGAAATGACAATGCACAGATTAGGAGGTTAGGTAGCTGAGGTGAGATTCGGCTAATTAAGGTTCTAATAGGTTCTGTGCATTGTCGTTTTGATGTGATTAGCCAATCCGAGCACACTCTTGGTAAAATAGCATAAGGTGGAACTTAGCCGGTCACGGCAAAATATCTACTGCCTATTTTAAAATTTTCCGTCACCCCCATTTAACAACAATACAAGTACTGGGTGTTCAAAGTGGGCAGGGTAATGAAGTAGAGGCCAAATGTGGGGTAAAATACTATAAAAGAACATCAAACAAACCTCTGATGTTACCTGCGGTTTGATCAAATTAAAATTCATGTACCGGTATCTCTCTTGATTGAACGCATGCATCTGTAGGAACATATCAGTGATTCCTGACAAGGCACAAATTTTCCACAACTTAAGCTTTCTTTTAAATGCCTCAACTTTTTCGTACTGGGAAATGCTTTTTGTGATTGCACCTTGCATCGTTTTTCAGCTTGCTTACTTCATTGAATATATCTGCAAGATAGCCGAGTTGAACAAGCCATTTCTCATCATTCAGGAACTCTGCTAGATCAGGCTTCTTCTCCGAGAGGAATGTACACAGCTCCTCCCTCAGGCTGAATTAGCGTGTGAACATCCGCTCGCGGGACAACCATGTCACCTGTGTGTGCATGAGCAGGGAGTGGTGGTTCACGCCTACTTCCTCAGAGTGCAGTGAACAATCTGGAGTTTGTGGTTCATGCTTTAACAAAGCTCACGATGGTTATGGCTGTGTTCAAAACTGTGTGAAGCCCAGGTTCAATGTCTTTTGCGGCGAGCATTTCTCTGTGCCAAAAAAAAAATGAGTTCAAATGGCACGGGGAGCAACTTCTTTTGTTCTTTTTGTCTTATTAACTTAGAAGGTTTCATACTCTCACTGGACAGCACTTGAGAGTAAAGAACACACTGTGGTTGGGCAGCGCTTTACTTGCTGGGCTTACTACGAAGTCATAGTTAAGGTAAAGGTCATCATATTTCATAATTTTTGGCTCCCTAACATGAGCAGATCTTTCTTCCTCTTACTCGCAACAGATGTGACCTCTGACTCATCATCTGAAGATTTTGACTCATTACTGTGGGTTTCATAGTTCTTGTTTTGATGAGGATAGTCGAGTAATAAATTTGTCCACTTTCTTCGCAGCTGGAGAAAAGCACAGTCTGGAAAAAAACATAAGGCCTATTATAGCACAGTCAAACCAAAAATTCCAGAAGACTCAATAATATCAATCATGAATCCATGACCATGATTTGTGGCTCAATGGCAGAAAGTGGTCCCTCGGTTAACGAGCACAATTCGTTCCAGCAGGTTGCTCGTTAACCGAAACCATTGTTTCAATGGATTTTTGGGTAATTGGTTCCAGCTCACCGAAAATTGCCTAAATTCAACAAAAAAGGTAGAAAAGTACACTTACTTTGAGGTGTGTATGTAGAAGGTTCCTGGGTGAAGATGATGGTGATGGGAATTAGAATGGGGGTGGAGGAGAAGGGAGAAGAGAAGGCATTGGGGTGGAAGAGAAGTCACCCCGTGGCGCCATTTCACCCATAAAATTTTAGTTCTCTTGGTGTAATTCAAGATTATTTTCTTTAAATCAACACTGCATTATATATTGTCAATATGTAAAATAAATTTCAAAATGACCAATAATTTGCTTGCAAACACAGAAAAAAAGCGTTTAGTTGAAGAGTCTCAAACAAGATGTAACCCCCACTGAAAAGACACAAAGACTGACGCATGTTTGGTGTGTTGACAGGCTGGATGGCGTGCATAAAACTAGTTTCCTTGCCTTCTATTATGTTCAGTAATTGTTAAAATGAGTAAAAAATTTAATATTAAACTTTTAAAATTATCAAATAGTATAAACTTCTTGATATTTGCTAAAATGGTAAGGAATTTAAGCCCTAGAACCGATTACTGTATTGGCGGACTAATACTACAGCTGGTGGACCGCCAAATGCAAGCGAAATCATGTTCAGGTTGGCTCGTAAGAAACTCGTTAATCGAGGGATTGCTCGTTAACCGAAGTTAAGAATCTAATGGAAGGTAACTCGTTAACCGAGGTGCTCGTTAACCGAGGGACCACTGTATTTTGTAGTAAGACGTTTTTGTTTTTCATAATTACAGGACTGTGCACATAACTGGATATCTGGAGCATAGATTAAACTAACCACTTATCCTTTTCCTGCAGGTGAAAAATGCAGGAATTGGACATTGAGGCCTTGGGTGTCACTGATCGATGGAATCTCAAGAGTGTGGAGGTTATTTCCTCTTTACAGCACCAGTAAGTAAAATACTGTACAACTGTGTTACAGTATAGTCCATACAAAGAATTTATTTTCTAAATGTTTAGTACAGTACGTATATTATTTTCAGTTTAGCTGTTATAAACTGGGAGTTAAGTACAGTAAAGTACTGTATTACCTCCCCACTTTTTAACAGATAAAGTTTTGACTCTAGTAGTGTGTCTTCACAAGCTCTAATATCTTAAACATTTTCAGCCTTGAACCATATGAGTCATGGGTAGTGCAAGCATCTGTATTGGGTGACAATCGAGAGGCATTTACGTTTTTCTTCCCTCTTCTTGCCGGCCTCGGTAATGAGTTAGGAGCACAAGCCCTCTGGGCATCTCTATTAGTAGAATGGTCAAATCTGCTTTTGAAATGGTAAGTTACAGTATTGGCAAATAATAGTAGATCATTGGGAAATACTTGTTTATAGAGTAGAGTGCAGTACAGTAAATTCTGTGTTAGAAAATTTATTAGAATTGTATCAGATTTGTGATTTTATTACTCAAGATGGATTTGTTTTGGGTATTACGTAATGCACGGTATTTAACTTTTAAGTGGAACTCACAGATAGTAATTATATTTCCTTTTTTTATTTAAATACTGTAGTATTTTGATATCTTACATTAGATTACATGAACATAATATGGTTTCTATAATGACAGGATATTCAAAGGGGACCGCCCGTACTGGTGGATAGGTGAGACGCCACTTTACAATGATGAAACTCAACCTCAGTTGCGACAATTTCCTAACACATGTGAGTCGGGGCCAGGCACGCCATCAGGACACCTTATGATGAATGTAGCGCTGTTTTATGTGGCGTCCAAAGGCATCACCAGACACTTCATATGGAAATCCAAAGCTTTGAAGTTAGTACAGTATATAATTTTTTTGTTACTGTACCCTGAACTGAAAAGAAAATGTAATAAAATTGGTTTTGAAAATGCTTGTAGGATCACATATCAGTTAAAACAGAAAAATATCCCAAGATGTGTAGTTTCTTGAAGCAAATAATGAAACTAGTATTGTTTAAAAAAATTGAATAGTTTTGAAAAATATAAAACAGGGTATAAAATATTTTGAGTGTGCAGTAATTTTGAAAATAAAAAAGGGTGTGAAATATTTTGATAGGGCATTCATTAATAAAACGATAACAAAAAAATTGGAGACATAATTCCAGTTCTTGTATTCATATTACAGTGATATCCCCGTTAGCCAGAACAGTTGGTGCAGAGCACTTCCAGAGATGAGAGATTTCCGGCTAACCAGACGACTTTCTCAAACCTGTAAAAATTTCCTTATCTTCGGAATATTTTCCGGTTACTGGGAAAAGTTTCCATGTCTAAACTAGACATCTTGCAGACACTAGCCCACTTCCCCAGAATGTTTCTGGGTGCTGGGGATCTATTCCTTGAGTCTAAACTACTGGAGTCCGTAAATGCAGTTCTATTTAAGTTAGAAACTCTACTTCTTTACTATAATAATCCAGAGTAGTTTACCTAAAAGTTTGGTAAAATAAATATATTTGAAAATTAAAAGTCTATATGATATGGGCATGAAAGAAACTGTGTGTTACAGCTGACTGGTATTTTCCACTCCCATGGAGCAGTGGGGGATTAGTGGGTCTTGTGTACCTGAACTGACTCAATGTCAGGTGGAGGTAGGGTGGGGGAATAGTTGTCTCATAATGCTGACCTGATGGAATGTCAGGTCACCCTTTCATGGGTGGCTGTACATACATACATACATACATGAGTTACTGCACCACGAGGCCTATGTGACCTCACACAGTATCGCAAGAGACCAGCCTGGGCCATCAGCTGCAAACTATAATAAATTTTATGTTCAGTTCATGTTCCTTCTCCTTTCAGGAATGAAAGCTTTTGTTAAATTACCCACCCACCCTATGTCTTTGTAAGTTATAAGTCATTTTTGTGTAATGTATATTTTCAGCCTTCGGGCTGCAGAACTTTTTCAATGAACCATTAATGTTATTATTATTATCACACATGTTTGGGAGGGAGGGTGTTACGGTCACTTTTACCCCCAATTGACCCTTCTCCCTGTGGCTGGGGGGAGATGGGTTGTTGACATCATACTCCAGGCAGAGGGGTTCTAATTTTTTGCTTATAAAATGCCACTGACTTGACTTAGGAGAATATAACTTGCATTGCTGGAATTTTTGTAAGGTAGCGATTAATTTGAGTATAAACATCCCTTAGTTTGCACCACATATCATAATTATAGTAATTAACTTGAGTAAAGGTTCAAAGTTTCGGGACATCACTAATGTATAATGAGTCTCCTTATGCCCTGGCTTATTCATTGATCAGTTGTCTAAGTGCAAAAGTAGTCCCGTCGAGCCATCATGTATCAATTAATTTTAAAATATAAATTATAATGTAAAATGTTAAAAGACAATGGGTTGGTAGTGCTGTTAATGTGTGTAAGTGTTTTGGCATGTCACCTCACTACCTGACTCGTGGACAAACTCATCATCAACTTCTTCAAATCCTACAATGTGCTTGGCAACGTCAAAACACACACACACGGGAATTAAGACAACAAGCATCCAGTGAGGGTCTTGTTGTGTGACTGCATGGAGGCGAATTAAAAGATCAGCTGTTGAGAGCTTATCGCTTAGCAACACTGGTGCATATTATCACTCCTTTCCACTCCATCTCTAATCCCCCACACCTTTCTGCTTTCTCACTCCACATTTTAAAATGTTGTATAATATACTGTTGAAGGGATACAACTTTGTTTATTTATACTTAGACTTATCACAATATCCCTTAAAATACTTTAGGTTTCGTGTATATTCAAGGCATCTTCAGTTCATGAGACCGACTAATACTCCAGCTAAGAATGGGTGACTTGACATTCCATCAGTAGGTCAGTAATATGAGACCACTAATCGCCCATCCTACCTCCATCTGACACCGAGTCAGGTCAGGTCCCCCAAAATACTTTAGCTATCGTCTTTATTCAAGACATTTTCAGAAAATGCTCTCGATTTTCAACCCTGGAAAATTTGTTCCCAAAGCTGGAAATTTTTGGATAATTCCGGCTGTGGGAATGATTTTCCGAGCAAATTTAAATTCCGGCTATCGGAAATTTCCGGATTTGAGGGACTCCAGCTAACAGAGATATTACTGTATACTATATTTTATTTCAGTACCTGCCAGAAGGGTATTTTGTCAGCCACGGTGTACTCAGTGTATTTGATGTGGATTGGAGTAATTTTTGTCTCCCGGCTCTACATCCAAGCACACTTCATCCATCAGAACATCTTAGGGATAATTGCTGGTAAGGTTAATTAATTATAAGTATTTTCTTTTTAACCCTTAGATTGGGTTAATAACACTTGGCAACAATTTAAAAATAAAATCTGCAACATGGTTCAGAGCAGCTTCCGTTTGGTAATCTTGAGGTGCTGATTTCAAATCTGGCAAGAAAAATTCGTTGGCACATACAGTTTATTTGTTATACTGTACAAAAAATTAAATCTTACAAAAACGGACAAATAAAATATTTCCTGTTATTCCTGTTACTTTTTTCCACGTCATCACACTATAATTCAATAAAGAATGAAAACAATTATAAGAAGACACAAAAAGTATAAAATTAGCCACTGTATGGCAGGGCTAATGTACATACAGTGGGGTATGCTATAACGAATCTAATTGGTTCTAGAACCTTGTTCGTTATAGCATTCGTTCGTTATAGGATTAATCCGTTCCAGGCCCCCAAATACAACCACTTAACACTGGAAAATATAATATAAAATTGTAAAAATTTAAAAAAAGTGCATACATATGCATCTAAACCCCTGAAATAAAGAATATCATTAATACTTGTAATAAAAAAACAATAAATTAGTAAAAAAAAAAATTATTTTTTTTTAATAATGTTTGTTGTAGGAGTTTCGTTCGTTATAGCATTCTCAATTTTATAGGTAAAACCGTTCGTTATAGGAATATTCGTAGTAGGATCTGTTCGTTATAGCATACCCCACTGTACTTCTTCTGGATTTTCTTTATTACTGAAGCAGCTATCTACACAGGTACTTAGTTGGGAGAGAATGTATTGTGAATTCTCTCCGGGAGAAGTGTTTTAAGTACACTTTTGTAGGAATACTTAAGTGAGGTATTCTCGCCCCCGTAAGTGTCAAGATTCTCGCATCCTCTCTCCACTCGTCTTTCCACTGTGCAAATTGTAACGTTTCTTAAACCTTTGGAACCACCCATGACTTGCTGTGAAGTTTTGATCGCACTCATCTCCTGCCTGCTTTTTCAGGCTTTCGAAAAGGCTTCTTGCCTTAGCCTGTTTGGTCAGAAGGCTTAGGGTACACGCTTTTGCAGCTGATCTTCCATCCACGTCACAAGTAATTTCTCCCTCTGCTGAAGAGGACCTTGTCTTTTTTTTGTTATTATTGTTCCCTTTATAGGTGCTGATCCTTTCACTACCTCACAAATTTGTTCCTTGTCCTTCAAAATTTTTGATATTATTGAGTGAGAGAGGCCAAGGTCGCGTGAAATGGTTGTTACCGTTTTTCCATTTTCATATTGCATGATTATTTTCATTTTTATCTCAAAAGTAATTGACTGTCTCTTTTTCTTCTCAGCACCACGAGAACTCTCACTTTTATGCTTGCCAGCCATTTTAAAGGGGGAATTACAAACAAAATTTTGTCAGTACACAGCGCGATCACTAACAACAATGACGGCCAAACACCAACTGAGCGGGCTACGGTGTGGATGCTGTACACCACGAGGCAGCCTAACCCAAGCTATCGTACGGCGTCACATTACGACCAAACGTCGGGACTCTAAAATGCGTAACGTGAAAAATATTTTATACAACCATGGCAGTCGTATGTCCGGGTTGTCGTACGTCTAGGAGAGTGCTGTTTGTTGAGGATTCACTTCAAGTGCCACTTAAGTCACTGGAACCGCTTGTTTTGTTTTTTCTGAGTGTTCCCTGGTTTTCGTATCCGTATCTCATTCGGCTGCCACCAGTGTGATAGTGGATTTTTTTTGTCACAATTGTTTTAAATTAATTTTGGAACTCTTAAGTTGCATGGCTGATGTAAACACTTATTCTGTATTTTCCTTCTTACTGAAGTGGCTATCTACACAGGTTGGGAGAGAAAGTACAGTATTGTGAATTCGCTCAGAGCATGAGAGAGGAGGAGGAGGAGGAGGAGCAGGCGAGGTGTTTGCTAAATCAGCTTGACTTTGCTCAACCTCTGAGGGAGTTACAAACTCAGCGTGTATAACTACTGAGTCATTGTTGAATAATTTGGTGTTATATATATTTGAGTGAATATTTATATAATGCTAAAGGTGCTGTTACACCTCATCATGGCAGGATCCCATCTACCCTGGTACCTTTCCTTCAAACGTCTAATGTCCTGATGATGTGCTCTCCCTGTTCATCACAAACCGCCCCCAGATTCTCAGGAAAAAAGTCCAAGTGCGAGTGTAGGAGGTGGATTTTCAGGGACATCCTACATCCTAAGTTTTTGTAGTTTTTTAAGAGTTCCTCTACAAGTTGGCAATAGTTTTCTTCCTTCTTGTTTCCAAGAAACCCCTTGACTACAGATTTGAAGGATTTCCATGCAGCTAGCTCATTTTCATTCAGTTTGTTTTCAGAATCGTCATCACAAAGTACCTTTCTTATCTGTGGGCCAATAAAGATACTCTCTTTGACTTTAGCATCACTGAGCTGTGGGAATTTTCCCCTCAAATACACGAACCCATCACCTTGTTTGTCTGTAGCCTTCACAAAATTCTTCATTAGTCTCAGCTTGATGTGTAAAGGAGGTAGAAGTACATCGTTTGGGTCTACCAAGGGAGTATATCTAACGTTGCTTTTTTCCTGGAACAAACGTTTCTCTCTCTGGCCAGTCCTTTGTGTTGTAGTGTTTTTCTGTTGCTCTTCTGTCCCTTAAACACAGAAAACAGCAATATTTCGTGAACCCTCCTTGAAGGCAGAGTAAAAAGGCTATAACCTTCAAATCGCCACAGATCTGCCATCTAACTCCTTGTATTTAATAGCAGTCAGTATTTTATCCATACTATCATACGTTTCCTTCAAACCTACAGAATGAGCTACTGGAACTGAGGGCTTCTGGTTCCCATTATGCAACAATACTGCTTTCAATCTAAACTTGGAGGAATCTATAAAAGCCGCCATTCCTTTGGGTCATGTTTTTCTCCCAACTCTGACATCAGTCCATCTACATCAGTACAGAGGGAATCCTGCATACTGTACAATGAAGACAATGTAATATTTCTTTTCCTAAAAACATAAATTCTTGTCTGTTTTGCTAGCAAGTTCTCATTCCTGCAGTCTTGATGCTAAAAGTTCCGCCTGTTGTTTTGACAATCGGAGATCACATGCAAGATCATTAAGTTCACTTTGTTCTATAAGACGTGGTTCATTGGAAGTCTGGTCAATGAAAGGAGGATCATGGGATGATTCTGGGATTTCTCCCTCAATTTCTTCATCCGAAGTTGAGAGGTCTTCTAAATTAGCCGGTGGTGTAGGTATAGGGAGGCCTTCTCCGTGAGGAACAGGCTTTATTGCCGAAGGTACATTTGGATACTCAATTTGGTGAATTAACACAGCCTCAGCATTGTATTCTCTCCATTCTCTTGTTCAGTATTGCTAACCTTGCATTTAATATATCGCTACCAACACAAGTACGTATCTTATATTCCTACACTACATATACACATATATCATAAAAATGTTACGTAGCTGACATTTTTTATTGCCATATTTTAAATCAGCACCCCAAAATTAATAAAGTGCAGTATATTTGATCCATGTTACTGAACCCTTGTCAACTAGTGTAATTGGTTGACCTGACTGTTCATGAGCATCCGGTAATTTCAGTAAGAATTCTTAAGTTGTATGGGAAGATATCAAGTTAAAAGTTTTACCTTTTGAAGAAAATTCTGCTGTAGATGTTTGGTGTATATTAATTGTTCTCCAGTTAAGAAATGTTTATACCATATTCCCTTCCTTACTTAAAAGCTGGATACCTCATAACATTAGTAACAACAACAAAATTGGAATGTATTCATTACTTACCAAGGGTGTGTCTGGCATTCAGAACAATTTGTACTGCCTCTTCCCATTATCTAAGCAGCTTGTGATATTTCCCAGTCATTTTAGAAAGACTGGATTGGTTGTAAATGTGTAGTTTATCCCAAAGTCAATGTTTATTGTTTATAATCAATCCAGGATAAAACAGCTCACTTGGTTCCCTCCTTCATTTTGTCGGGTGAGCGGGAAATCTTGTACGTTGTGTGATCCCAGGCTTAAATGACCATGAGCTGAGTGATTTTTTTTTACTAGAGTTGCTTGCTGGAGGTGAGAGATTCCTTGGGTTCTGACTCTGAACCCCCAGCCTTTTTTCCAAGGTGTATTCAAAAGCTGTTCTCTCCTGGGTCAGGTATGATTCTTGATTTTAGGATGGATCCCAAATATATGTACACTCGCAACAAAAAGTATCGGTGCATACTGTAGTGTGAAAAATTTGAGACCAGTGATGATAGGTATTGGGAAAGGCGAGTTGTTCCAGCCATATGTTGGCAGCCCTGTAATCCTGCTGAGCAGCTACTATGGCCTGGTCAAGTGAAACAAACCGTTATAAAAAGGTCGGGAAGTGATAAATAGACAGTATGAAATATGAGGAGCTCCCTGTTAACAAAATTATTTGTGATACTTGTGAATATTGCCACATTAATTTATGCTACCAAATAAACCACTCAACCTGGTCGTGGTGCAGCGTGGACGGCCGCTCCGAGACCTGTCGTCTGTAGCACCAGTTTCGAGGTATCGCCGAATCCATCGTGCAGCGGTGTTCCTGTGGACACCAACCCGCCGGCTAATATCTGTGACGCCGAACCCTTCGTTATGAAGGGCAATAATAGACACTCGTGTTCCCTCTGAGGTTCCATGTCGTCTGGTATGTGTATATCTCTACTGCTTCATATTGCCTCTGTTTTATACCCACGTTCACCGAGACCGAACCCTCGCTCATCATTCAGTCGACACAAAGCAACAATCCGAAAAGAAGAAACAAACACACTGATTGTCAGCCATATGGCAACACCTAGGGGGAGGGGAGGGGTTATGATACACTTGCCAACCTTCCCGACATATCACAGTGTATACGTATTGTTTCGGAAGTCGTCGATCTCACCCTGCATCGATACCTTTTGGTGCGAGTGTACACTACTACAGTACAGTAGAACCTCGATAAATCGGACTAATTGGGGCAGGCCCTAGTCCAAAAAATAAGAAAGTTCGAAAAAAGTGAATCTTTGTGAGGGGGGGTTGGAGATAACTGCTTCTCTGGACTGTTTAAAGAAAATAAGTTGTTGTTATAATGCATAACATGGTTATTAAGACACTACGGTATTACATCAACAATAAAAAAATATGAAACAGAACTTTCTGGTTTGAAATTCGGACTTAGGTCTGTATGCTGACAACTGTTTTCACCAAGATGATTGTTACATACTGTAAAGTGTCTTAGAAATAAAGAGTAAAGTGTATACTGTACAATACAGTGGGGTATGCTATAACGAACGGATCCTACTACAAATATTCCTATAACGAACGGTTTTACCTATAAAATTGAGAATGCTATAACGAACGCAACTCCTACAACGAACGCGGATGAATACCGGACTATTTCGCCTGGCGCATGAATATAGTTGTACCGCGACCCACAACAAGAGCGTCAGGCACCATCTTTGTCTCATTGTGTAGCCAGTGCACCACTGTTATTGTTGAAATTTCGTCTTTTGATGTGGAAATTCGCGTTATTTGTATAACTATTTTGTTATACAAGTATACAATTGTAACAATGAGTCGTCCAAAGCGAGTGAGAAAGCTAATAACCCTTGAAACTAAGAAAGAAATTATAAAGAAACGTGAGAATGGAAGAAGCATTGCGAAACTTAGTGATGAATATGGGATGGCTAAATCGACTATATGTACGATTTTGAAAAATAAAGAGGAGTTAAAAACTGTGCAAGTGGCTAAGGGAATCTTTAGACTTAGCAAAGCAAGGTGTAATGTGATTGAAGAGATGGAAAATTTACTCTTAGTGTGGATAAAGGAGAAAGAAATGGCAGGTGGTAACATTAGTGAAGCTATAATTTGTGAGAAGGCTAAACAATTGTTTGATGACCTTAAAGCCAAGACTCCCAGTGGAAGTGATAGTGATGTGCCAGTGTTTAGGGGTACCTGCATGCTGAATAACACTAAGGTAAGATAAAGTACCGTATTTTTTACATTTTCCACAGAATTTTTTCAGTGTTAAGCGGTTGTATTTGGGGGCCTGGAACGGATTAATCCTATAACGAACGAATGCTACAACGAACGAGGTTCTGGAACCAATTACGTTCGTTATAGCATACCCCACTGTACTATAAATATAACAATTGGAAAAAATAATTGTAGGGGAATATTGTGTCTTTGTACCCATTTCTTAAAATATGTACAGTAAACCCTTAAACATCTCGTGATTAGGTTAATGAAAACCCTGCGAAGTTCACCCACGGGAAGCTATGGGAAGCCCAAATTGTAAAAAAAACGAAGAAAAACCATTCCGGGTGTTTGAAATACACACACATCAAAATAGATAGAACAGTTAATGTAAAGCAACAAAGCTCACTATAAAGTAATAAAAATACTGTATGGTAAAATAAAAATGCACACTCACTATCCATGTGTGAAGTTGTTGCCATCACATTGTTGTCTCCCCCTGCTGTGATGACTGAACAAACTGTTCAAACTTGTACCCATTCTCTTCAAAATGACCTTTAAACTGAGCTGGGTAACCCTCAACAGCATCATGATCTGCAGAAACCGCTTCTCCAGTAACTTTGAGGTTATGCAGATTGTGTCTCTGAAGTTTTTAAACCATCCTTTACTAGCTGTAAAAGTTGAGCTCTTTTGCTCTTGATTGTCACCACTTGCACTGGCCATACTGGTAGCACTTCTAGCCAGGCTATCACCACCACTTGCACAAACACCTTCAGCACTGTAACCATGTGCACTAACACCAGCATTGTTACCATGTACACTAACACCTGCAGCACTGTCACCACTTACACGAGCAGTATCACTTGAAAAACCTTCATAGAGAGTCTTAACTTTGTTCCTGATAATTAATCAGTGTCAACACTTACATTACGGCAGTTCTTATCTTCAGTGCAAGTACTGAGAGCCTTCTCCATCTTACTAATAACAGGGTCTCTAAGATGCAGTGTCTTGCTGGCAGCACTCACAGCACTCGGGGCAATGCACTCACGAATCTCCTTTCCTTTCCATGTAGCGAATTCTTGACTCATTCATACCGTAATGGCGACCACAGGCAGCATATCTCATACTACTTCAATTTATCAAGTACTTTCTCCACCATAGTCAGCACCTTCCTTACATTGGCAGGCATGCCAATAGAGCCTCCAGCAGGTGCAGGACATTTACGAAGCATGGAGAGAGAGTAGGGAAAGGCAGTATGGACACGTAAACAACAAAGCTCTTCACGGGCTGGCAGTGCAGGCAACGGTGAGGGCGAGGGACGCGATCTTTAAGGGTTTACTTTACTAACATAATTTTAACCTTTTTCTTAAAACACTCTAGTATCCCCGTTAAATGTATTACATACTCTACAAAAAAAAATAAATGTAAAAGAGTGTAGGTAGTGAGGTGTGGCACACTGATACATAAACTCGTGAGTCTGAGACAGTGAGACACATGCCAAACACCACCTCTCCACCGACGTCCATCCCCATGTACGAACACACAAACCATCTGGACTACTGGGTTTTCAAGATTTTTTATTTTATAATAGAGGGGCAATCCAGAGCACCTCAGAGAGTCCGAAAAAGGCGAATTCTGATATATTGAAGTCGCATTTATCGAGGTTTTACTGTATTACCAATCTCTCTCAGAAGACATTTTTATCAGTATCCCCATATTCACTCCTTTCTGGCTCTCCAAATTTACCCTGAATTCCTTCATATCTTAATGAGACTCTTTTATATCTAAATCTAAAATCTTCATTCACTGTTACTGTATGATATATATGGACACAAAGTAGTCCCTTCAGCTGTATATTATTATATTACTCTTATATTACTCTTATTAATTATGTATAGTAAAGCATTACAGAACATGTATTAATTCTATGTAATATTCTATTTATTGTGCACCATATTATGTATATAAATTATCACATTTATACTTTATGTATTCAGCTTGTGAATGCTGGCATCTGTATAGGCCAGCGCGTAGTAATACATAGATAGATGTAGAGGTAGTTGAGACCGAGTCCTGGTGGTGTGCCCACAGGCTTCCTGCGTCCAACTGTATTATCTCCCGTACGAGAATAGAACCTACTTTTAAAGACAACAAGTGTTTGTATATACCCTCAGTAGTATAGAACATTCTTTGGGTATCTGGCAATACACTAGAGTTACTAACTCTCATGTTGAAGTAATCTTTACAGGTTTTCAAGTCTTCCCAAAACCGGTCTCTTTCCTCTTCCTGGGATATATGCACTCACAATATCCATCTCTCAGACTCCACTTTTAGTCATATTCATAATACTGTATTCTAGGACTGCACTTTTTACTCTTACATTTTCTGATAGTCTCGACTTCATTTCCCTCACCTGTCTTCAGCAGATTTACACTTTGCCCTTGAACTTTGTTTTGTTCAGAGCCAGGACATCCTACTTCCTATCATGATGGGTTGGTACGCCTCAGTAAAGTGCAGGCAGTCATTCTGGCGTGTTTCCTCTTTGGTACAGTTATGTCAGCTTACTCACTGCTGATCTGTTATGGAATGGATCCTTTGTGGTCATTGCCATTGGCTCTTAAGCATTGTACTCACCCAGAATATGTGAAGATTGATACACAGCCATTCTATATAGTGATGAGATTCACAGGAGCAGCTTTGGGACTAGGTAAGTCAGGAGACCAAATACAGTATTTTCATGTAATTTCATGGCATGTTACATTGGTTGTTATTATGTCCAGTGTACAGTAATTCTCTGATGAATGATCATTTTATATTCCAGTATTATCAAGTTCTTATTACTACAGGTTTGGGCCTTTCATCAGACCAGCGTTATGTTGTCCTAAATACTCCAAGAAATTTTATTCGCACAATACTAACCATAAAAGGAGGAATTCTGATTGGAAGAATGGTGGCAATGATTCAGGTAAATATATGGTTCACCATTTAAACTTGTGGAAGGATTTAGATGAATAGATTAAGTGATAAGAAGCAATTAAAGTTTGAAGATGTTCCAAGAGCTGACTGGTGTCACAAGTAAGTAGAGAGGCATCAGATATGAGTTCTTATTAGTCAGCCCTAGAGGCAGCAAATAAATTATTCTTGCATCTATGTGTTCACTTGGAGTCACTGCAAAATTCATTATTTTTTTTTTTTACAATTAGACATATACTCCCGACTTACGACGGGGTTAGGGACCCAAATCCAGGTCGTAAGTCAAAATGGTCGTAAGTCGAAAATGCTTAAATAATACATAGAAAATCTAAAATGGGTGTCTTTTTTCAGCACCACAAAACTTCGCTTAAGCTTGCCAGCCATTTTAAAGTGAATTACAAACCAAAATTTTTGTCAGCACAGCAATCACTGATATTGGGACCTAAAATATGTAATTTGATAAAATTTTGCACGACTGAGGCGTCGTATGTCCGGGTGGTCTTAGTCTGAGAGGTCGTAGTCGGGGAGAGCTGTATATATATATACATATACAGTGGTCCTTGGTTAACGAATGCCTCGTTAACTAACTTCCTTCCATAAAATCTTCATTTCGTTAACGAAATTTCATTAAAATGCTTTGGCTTGCTCACCAGCTGGAAGATTAGTCCGCCAATACAGAAATCGGTTCTAGGGCGTACATTCGTTAATATTGGAGTAAATATCAAGAAGGTTGAACTAGTCAATAATTTTCCAAGTTTTATATTAATTTTTTTAGGTCATTTTAACACTTATTTAACATAATTGCAGTACCTAGTGGTATTTAGTTATCTGTCATATAGGGGAAATTTATGTTTTTCTCTTATAAAATGTCAATGAATTGACTTAAGAGAATATAATTAACATTGCTGGAATTCTTGTAAGATAGTGATTAATTTGAATATAAACATGCTATAGTTTGCAATAGACAAAAAAATTAGTACTTAATTAGTACATATGACTAAAATATATGATGTCTATATTCAAATTATTTGTTGCCTTGCAAGGATTTTAGCAGTGTAGGTTATATTCTCCTAACTTTAGTCTGTGATATTTTATAAGATAAAAACTTTAAGCCTAAAACCACCAAATCCTGGTTGGGAGGGAGGGGGGAGGAGGGGAAGTGACAGTGACATGTTTGGCAGTTGCCCAGAAGGTCTAGTGAAGTATTAATTTGTTTATTTATGTCCTTTAGATTGAGTTATTGTTTTATGCTTATAAAATGTCACAGAAGTGATCGGGGAGAATATAATTTACATTCCTGGAATTCTTATAAAATAGTGATTAATTTGAATATAATCATGCAATAGTTTGCACTAGACAAAAATTTTGTAATCATTTAGTACAGTGGGGTATGCTATAACGAATCTAATTGGTTCTAGAACCTTGTTCGTTATAGCATTCGTTCGTTATAGGATTAAACCGTTCCAGGCCCCCAAATACAACCACTTAACACTGAAAAATATAATATAAAATTGTAAAAATTGTAAAAAAGTGCATAAATATGCATCTAAACCCCTGAAATAAAGAATATCATTAATACTTGTAATACAGAAACAATAAATTAGTAAAAAAGAAAAAAAAAATTTTTTTTTAATAATGTTCGAGTAGCATTCTCAATTTTATAGGTAAAACCGTTCGTTATAGGAATATTCGTAGTAGGATCCGTTCGTTATAGCATACCCCACTGTACATTATTTTGAGTACATGTACAGTACAGTTTTGCCCTTAGGACAGTGTAGCGTGCCCAAAGAAACATTAGGCGCAAAATTTAAAATATGATGTGCCTGATTGACTCGTGCAAAATAGGAAAGATTCCCTTTAAATTAAAACATTGTCCTTAATTGTGTCGCTTTAAATCGAGTTGATCGAGAGTTCAATTTAGAAATTTGATTTAATGAATAGGGGTGGCTCAAATTAATTCATTAAATCGAGAAAGTACTGTACAAAAAAAAAATATATGAAACAGAACTCTCTGGGTTAAAAATCACACACAAGTTTGGTTGTCAACAACTATTTTCACCGAGATGATTGTTATTTACTGTAAAGTGTTATATGCTTGTAACTACCGAGATTATCTTAAGAATAAAGCGAAAACTGTATACTGTACAGTACAGTACAGTACTATAAAGTTAAAAATAAGAACATATAAGTGTAGGGGTATGTTGTATGTGAAAGACGAATATATATCTGGGAGCAGATGGGAAGGGTAGGGGAGAGGGCAGGTAGGTTCATTTGGTGCCAGTTTGATAAAATAATATCCTTGAAAAATCAACTTTCCTGAAAAAAGATTCTCACACTCAACACCATGAATTGTTTGTTTACAAGGGCAAACAGCTGATAGGCTTAGCTGCTTTCCACAATGTCTGTCTTCAGCACTGAGTAAATTAGATTTACACAGTACTGTACAGTACAGTAGTGTATTTATCATAACTTAATAAGTAATATTGTAGTGTACAGTAATACATATTATGTATCTGTATATACTCAAGTTTATTCATTAATCAGTTGTCCAAGTGTACAAGTGGCCAAATTGAGCCATGATGTATTACTTAAAGGTAATAAATAATGTTGTTAGGAGGGTAGCTTCAACAACGTGAAGATGATCAAGGAGAATCCAGTGACGATGACCCCGCCGCTCTGAAGTTTGATGATGAAGCTGAAGTCGCTTTGCAAGTGTCTGGAGTTGATTCTGAAGGCTTTGAATCCAATTAGCCTGGACTCCCCATTGTCTCCCAGAGCTTCCCACACCCCCACTATTCGGTGGAGATGGTGGAGTGTTGCATAATTAGCTTCCTGGGCTTTCTTAATAATGTAGATGCAGTTTATGTGATATGTGTCATTTTGGGAACGTTAAGTTGGTTACCCAAAGTTGTTCTCGAGTAAAGGTTCTTGCGAGTGGAGTACAATAATCAGTGATTTTAACACGTGTTAAAGGGCATCGCTTGTAACCTATTACTGATGCATGGATGTGTACCAGTAAGATATACCCACGCAAAATAGGACCCCCACCGTATACAAAGTTAGGTTTTTATTAATAAGAGATGTTTCCAAGGGCCTTTCAAAAATTTTTAACTCCTTTTCATACACTGTTTGAAACTAATGTGGATATGAGTTCTAGTACAGGAGCTGCTTACCTTGGTCATCCTTCTCTTCTGATGCTCCTAGTTCTACTGCTGAATTCATTACTGACACCATTGTGATTGAAGAAACATAAAAAAAAAAATCTTAACTCCCCAGTTGGTTTAGTTTGTTCCTATGTCATTGCTGTAAATAAGAAGGAAATTATTAGCTTGTCAAGCTTCACAGATAGTCATCTAGCCCATGAGCCCTTGCCTTGTCATTTTTGTGTGTTGTGTTTGATTTATATATTCACAGTGAGTTATTTATGAAAAGTAATGATATTTTTCCTTGTCAGGCAAGTTTACCAACTAGTAGGTATTGTTCCTGACTCTGACCCTGGGCATCAACATTCCCTTCATCATCATCGCCCTGCTGCCTCATTTTCTTCTCACTGTATATTACTCAAACTAGAAATATGTATTATAGGTCAATACTGTACTGTACATTAACTGTGAAATACCAGTAAGTGTGATAATAACAAGTCGGTCCAGTAAAGAATCTCCACCGGACTCAGTGATGTGTTCAACTTGTGATGGTAAAGAATGTACAAACCTTAAGGAATTGTATATACTACAGTAATTAAATTATTTCAATTTTCAATTGTATTTTTTAACTTCACAGAAGTTTGTAAAAAAAGATTGTGAATTTGATTTGTAATAGTTTTATTGCACAAAAATAAAAAAAAAAATATTTAAATTGGATTTAACTATGTGAATAGGGTCCCCTCAGAGCTGAATTAAATCATCTGGCATTAGCCAAATAAAGTATTAAAAGTAGCATCCCCATTATGAAGGGTTTAATATTAGATTTGTTTGATATCTATTATTAATTTTTTCTCTTTCATTATTGTTAAACAGACATGCCCTGACAACCAACGCATATGCAGACTCTGAAAGATCGTAGGTTAGTGAATCAACAGTTATTGAAGAAATTAATCCCATTAGAATATAACAAATTCAGGAGGTTGCGGGGCCACCCACCAAAAACTCCCATCTACCCTTGATATATCACTGTCATGCATACTGTCAAGCAAGAAAATAAAGCAGACATATAAAGTAAGCATAATAAGCATTAAATAAGGAATGTACAGTAGTACCCTGATTTACACGGTGTACAGTAGTACCCCGATTTACGCTGTCAATTGAACCCACAGGGTACCGCGTTAAGTGAAATCCGCGTAAATGGAACAACAGAACATATGGGATTAATTCCAATAGAGACTGGCCCAACCCCCAAACTTCACTTTTTCCGACACAATACCTATGTTGTAGTAAAAATATTATCTAAATTTTATGATGGTATGCTCACACAATTAATATTTAAGAGAAATACAGTCGCCAGGTTAATGTCCATTCATATAATAGACTCAATTCCCCCCCCCCCCTCTTCCCAGCTCACTGGCCCCTACCTCTCTGAGAAATGATTGGGTGAAACACTAGATTTTAACTTTTAGTAATAAATAATACCTCAGACTAAAGTTAGGATAATATAATTGACATTTCTGGATTCCTTGCAGGTCAGGGAATATTTTGAATGTAAACTTCATATATTTTGCACAAAAGATAAAATACTTGCTTTGTGTAAACCAAATTATTACATTAGATCTAAAATTTGTATGTCTAATGCAAAATCCATGATGTTTATATTCAAAATGGTTATCATATTGTAGGAATTCCAGCAATGTAAATTATATTCTGGCCAGGTAATTTGTATGAATTTTATGAGCTAAAAAAAAAAAAAAAAATTAGTCAACCCTCACTTAACGCGGTTAATGTAACCCACAGGGTGCCGCGTAAAGTGAATAACATAACATATGGGATTAATTGAAATCGAGTCCAGGCCGACCCCCAAACTCCACTTTTTGACGACACACAACTATGTTGTAGTAACAATATTATCTTAACTTTATGATGGTATGCACAAACAATTAATAATTAAGAGAAATATTAATAATATTAGGTTTTCTAACACTTACATTAGTAGAAAAGATGGCTGGGCACACGGGAATGGGCGGTTGGTTCCGAGGCAGAGGGCAGATTATTGGCCCCCACCTGTATCACTTGTATCACTATCCACCATAGAGGCTTGCAGGGCCTCTTTGTCAAACCCCTCAAAGTCCATATAAGTCCATATCTTCACTATAATTATCACTATCACTGACTTGGGCCGGCTGTGGTGGGTGGCGGTGAAGAACTCGGTAATGTTTTGATGACTGGGCAACCTTGTGAGCACCATGCTCGTGCAGCTTACACAACATGGCGGATGGCGGGAGGTTTGAATCCAAAAATGGCGCGGCTCGCCAGCCGCTCTCCGCGTAAAGGGGTACACGCACCGCGGAATGTGAGCATTCCTGTTTCGGCAGGGTACCGCGTAAACGCGGAATGTGGGACCGCGTAAAGCGAGGGTTGACTATATACTTCACGCGTATATGAGTAGATGTACCGCGGAAAGTGAAAGTCCGGAACCGTGTAAAGCGGGGTAATACTGTAAACCAAAATTTGAGACTTAATTACCTGTGTTGAGGATGGTAGAGACAGTCTAGGGTGGCAAATTCAAATCTCTACTAATCTATTCTGGTCCGTCACCAGTATATATTATGCCTTATCACATCAAGCTTGACAGTAAGACTTATGCACCCTCTTAGGGGCAGCACAAGAGGATCTTTCACTGGGGCATTTAGGCATGATTGCATAACACACAAAGTCGGAAATAACGAAAAAAAACAAAGTCCGAGACAATGAGTTAAGTATAAACAAGTGTCGAGAGGTAGGAAGCAGCACGCATAGCCCTGTTGTGGCAAAAATTCACACCACGCCGCTGCCGCTCCACGATCAATGGGGTATCCACGAAATTTGGAGGTACATATTTCCCCAATATGTAATTGTTGGTTATGCAAAGTAGTGGTCAATGGGATCTTGGTTTATGGGGTATAGTTGTACTGTACAATACAGTATTGCCTCGCTTTATTACAACAGATGTTGCATTATGTTAGGGGTTCCTCATTGTAAGTGGTTAACAGTGGGGATTGCCTGAAATTTATTTAATGAGCCTGTCACAGGACCCCTTTTGAGCCCACAGAATGACCAAAAATTTTAAAGATTTTTTCCCAGGCGCTATTCGTGGCTAAGATATTGTAATATATTTATTCTAGTGATACCATCCTACATAAAAAAGGCTAGGAAATCACATGAAACCCTCAAAAATAATAATAAATAAAAGCCAACAAAGGGTGACCTAACATTGCATCAGGTCAGTAATATGATACCAGTAATCCCCCATCTTACCTCCACCTGATATTGTGTCAGGTCAGGTCAGTTACATGAGACCCATTAATCCTCCACAGCTCCATGGGAGTGGAAAACACCAGTCTTTGCTGTAACACACAACTTCATTCATACCTGTATCATATAGATTTTTAGTTTTTAAATATATTTATTAAACCAAACTTCTAGATAAACTACAGTATTCTGGATTATTCTAGTAAAGAAATTGAGTTTCTAACTTTATTAGAACTGCTTTGACAGACTCTGGTTGCTTAGACTCTCGAAAAACTTTCCCTACTACCCAGAAACATTCTGGAGATGTAGGCTAGTGTTTGTTCTGTGCAGGATGTGTAGTTTAGACACTCGGAAACTTCTCCCAGTAACCAGAAGAGATTCCGGGGATAAGGAATTTTTCCAGGTTTGGGAAAGACCAATTGGTGTAGAGGTCACCAATAAGGTTATATTAAAACAACTGAAGAATTTCTCTCCTATATATCAACATAACAGCCAGATTACACAACACCTGCATGACATACAACTATCGGGTAATCTACAGACTCGGGATGTAACTGTAAGTACTGTACTGTTAACATTAATCCAAACTACAGGTAGTCCCCGACTTACGACTGCTTGGACTTACGTCCATCGGTACTTACGACCTGCTCTGACCTTACGGCCATCAGGACTTACGACCGCCGCAGTTGTGACCATTTTTTTTTATTTTTATTTTTTGAAATGACACACGCATTTTCTATACCGAAACGTTTCCAGTTAATGTAGTCTCCATGTATAATTAGAAAATTATGGGAGCCCCATGTGCGTTCAGCTGACTACATTAAAGGTAAGTGCTCAGTCACACTGTAACCATTCCTCATTATTTATTACTTTTACTGTACTGTATTTCATTGTAGATTTTTTATTTAAAAAAAAAAAAAAATTGGAATTTTTTTTTTTTATGTATGTCGGACTTACGGCCTGAATTTGGGTCCCTAACCCCGTCGTAAGTCGGGAAGCACCTGTACCTTAATCACCTCTCTCACAGCAATGGAAAACTAGACATGTTTAAACAAATGACTAGTGAAATGGGCCTTAGTTCTATTGGGCCCCAACCTAATCAATTCTCAGACTGAGGCCCAACCAAACTAGGCCCAAATCCTAATGGTTATGTTAAATTAGGGGACCTATTAAGACAGTAGCCCATTTGACCTGCAACCTTTAAATATATATTTGGGGGGGGATAAATACTCAACATAAACTTAAATCAATGTACAGTACAGATTCATGTTATCAACTAGATTACTGTTGCATTACACAAGTTTTACAGACATAATTTTAACTCCTTCCACCGTGAGGTACAATTCTATTTTATTTTGTTTAATATAAAAAACAAAAAAAACATGAAAGTACTGTATTCAACACTTACAATATATATTCATAATCCACATACTGTACTATATTTTAACGAGCTAGAATTTTTTCACCTTCATTTGGCCAATATTGAGTTAAAAATCCATTTTTCATGTCCTATATCCCTGTACCTTTATACAGTCATATTTTCAGCCCCATAAACCAAGCTAACTGTAAGATGCTACCAGTACATAATAATTATCCTATTACTATACAGTATATGACAAGTCCTATGATGCACCTTCTGTAGGATCACTTTAAAAAATCTTCCTTTATCAAAAATGCCTATCTAAATTTACTTAAAAATATTATACAGTACCACAAGATCTTCTCTAGCATTACAGAGCTACTTCGTAAACCTTAATACCAACCACAAGGACTTCTCAGATTACTTTCAAAATCATGATACTGTAATATCAGAAAATAACATGGAAAAATTATTGTAAAATATTCCTTCAACTCTACAGTACAGTGCAGGTACAGTATTACAATTTCTGTAGTCAGGAAAAAGTATCATTAAAAAAACATAATTCATAAACTCTGGTAGGAATAATTTCCTTATTTAACCTTTGATACAGTATCTGAAAAACTCAACCACAGTATATAATGTAATTCTCATAATTATCAGCAGAAAGCCTTAGAATTTTCATTACCTGTTTCTTATTATTTGTTCTTTTAATGGCTATAAGGCACAACAATCATACAGGTATTACAAAGGTGTATATCTTTGATTCATTTAAACTTCATAATAACAGAGATGGAATCCCTTCTTCATGACATCTCACAATAAACATCATAATATATTTTTAATGGCATTCAGAGCCATTATGTTATTTGATTTACAGTGGTCCCTCGGTTAACGAACTGCCTCCCATAATATTCTTAAATTCGGTTAACGAACAAAAATTCGGTTAACGAATTTCTTACGAA